CGTATTTCGGTTCGGTTCTGACACCCCTATTCAGAGCAGACAACATGTACTTAGAGGCATAGTCAGTCATTGTAGACCCATCAAAAATAAAGATTTATTGCTAATAGTCATTAATCCTTTTTTTTTCTTTTGGACAGGGAATTTTTATCCCATATAATGGTATCTCAACATATCTCAACCGTTAATAAATGCTTTATTTACATGCATCTACGGTTGAGAATTGGTTAAAATGCCAATGGAAACACCTTCGAAGTAGAGGATCTTCATCCTCCTTTGTTATTTATGTTGGAAAAGTTTCATGATATTAATTTGGTAAATTAGTTTAGGTAAAACTCATGGCCAAAGTAATCTCTCTCCATAAGTTTTAGTACCTTTACAACTGCTTACTTATATGAGAAAAAAAGAATTATACTTAAGCTCCATCTATTTTACGAAAAATTAATGATTTGAAAAATATTTTCTTAAAAATGATCACTTGTATCACTTACAAAAAGAAATAAACAAAAAATATTTTTATTGCTCACGAAAATATTTACACATAAATTGTCAAGGGTTTTTCTAAAATCTCAAACTTTGAAAAAATGCGAAGAAGCCTCTCTATCCCATGCATGAGGAGACCTCACATTCACTAGCCACTATCCCATGCTCGAAGAGACTGCACATTAACTTTGTTGCTTTCTTTTGTTAAGATAAACTCTTTCTTCAATTTTGGCTTAGAGAACAGAAAAACTTTCAAATAAGGATATCAAGTGAATTTATTTTCTCAAAAAAATGATTCGAAGTGAATTTTATCTTAAATAAGGACCTGAAGTGGCTAGTCAATCTCAAATAAGGGCCTAAGCTCGCCAGCTGACTAAATGTTTGCCAGTAAACATTTTCTAGAGACTAAAATAGGGGCAGTTTTGTGCAAAATTTGCAATTTAGTAAAAAATAAGAAAATCCCCAACTTGAATTAGAATTAGGGATCTTACTTCAATTTTTCACGTTTTCTTCTTCCTCTTCGCCCTATCCTCAACCGTTTCGCGCTCGGTCCTCGCTGCTCCTTGCCCGATCCTCGTCTCTCGCCCTGAGCTTCAGTCTGTTGTCCGTCGTCATCTCTTCTCTCCCAAGTTCCGTCGTCCGCAAGCTTGAAGTCCATCGTCCTCGAGTTAAAGTCCTTTAGTGCCGCTTTTGCTCTCGTGCATATTTTCTTCTTCAGTGCCGCTCAGCTAAAGGAATTTGGTGCTACGTGAGGCTCCGGTGGTTGCTTTTCATGAACTCCGTCAGGGGCGGGAAGCATGGGGTTGAGCTCAAGCTCCGCCTTCACCGCCTAATCGCTGAAGAACAGGTACGAGAGATGCGGCAGTTGGTGTTTAGTTTAATGTAATCGTGCGATTTATATATCTTTGCGTAGTTAAGTATGCGCTCGAGCTCTCTCGCTTCGTATGGTAGTAACTGTATAAGGGTACGGGTTCACGGTGGTGTTCATCAACAAGATCGGGGGGTTCGCAATACAATCGTTGGGATTCTTCTTCATGACAGTGTTCATGTTCGCTTTGGCCATCCCTTACCACCACTGGACCTTGCCGGACAATCGAACGGGGTTTGGGATCATGTGCACGCTCACCTTCTTCTTATGTGTTTATTCTTCTTTTGACATTATTTTGACATGCGCTTATTCTCCTATTTCTTATTAGCGTCCCTAAATTTTTACATTATTTCCTTTTGGGCTTGTCATCCACTGGGCATTGGAAATAACCAAGTAAAAATATTTGTCAAATCGGACACACGAAATGAGGCCGAAAGCTTAAACTTATAATTTTGCTAAAAAAGACGTATAATGGGAATTCTTTTGATACTCGTATAATAGAAAAAATAGAAAATTAGAGTTTGAATACTATCATCTTCATCACAATTTTGATTTTTTTTTCTAAAGTATATGGATTTCCTTAATACGTGTTATACTCTTTAAATGGTATTTCCCTTTAATCATAGTGGCTAAGTTAAAACTCGAGGTCATCTCTTCCTATCCATTATTTAAATTCTATTTGAATTATGTGATTCAAAACATAAGTTGTTGAACACATCTCTTAAGAGCTTATATAAAAAAATTCAAAACATCACTTCCTCTCCATTATTTAAATTCCATTTGAATAAATTAAAGCTTATGAGCTTCTCTCTTATCTATTTTTTATAATAAAATTCAAATTGAGTGGAGTTTAGATAAAATTATTTCCAATTTTTATTTTCTTATAAATATACTTATTTTGATAGATATAAACTATATTTAAGTAAGTGGATTTCCAACGAAGAAAATAAAAATCAACATAACCTCAATATGTATGTTTCAAATAAATCAAGTTGCATACTCATTTTCTCAAATTTTTGCTAAGTTAAATAGACTACATCATTTATTTCGTTGTGTTGTGCTGAACTAAGGACTATATCATTTAAATAAAATTTGTATCATTCAAGAATGTCCTTATTTGAAAAAATGAGGGCATTTTAGGCTCTTATTTGAAACAATTTCCACTTCAAGCCTTTATTTGATAAAATGATGGCACTTCATTCAATAATGTACTTTATTCGTTGTTTAATAAGTTTTACTTAACGAAACAAATAATGCGATTCATTTCATTATCAGTTAAATATATTTGATTTAATTAAATAAAAGTTATGTCATTTAAATCAAAAAAATTATATCATTTAAGAATATAGTAAGAAATTACGTTTGAAACAAACTGTATGTTTAAGAACATATTTGAGATGCTTCTCCATATCTATCTTTTAAATTTTTAAAATCAATAAAGTATAGATGGTTAAATGATATTCAATAAACTAATTATCATTGGTCGAATGTGGCAATGCGACTAAATTATGCCATGTGTCTTACCATGTACCCACGTTATTTTTAAATTTAGATGTTTGGCAATACCATTCCCGGTGTCTTGCCATATAATATAACTCATTATTTTTTATTATGTTAATTTCATTTCGTATTTATCTCGAATGGATGGAGATATAGGAAATAAAACAAAATAACTATCAACAAGTTACACATAATTATTATTCATCGAGTTAATGTTTATGTAATTAATTAAATTGTATTATTAAATCAAGCGAATTAAATATAATATTTCACTGAATGTAGTAGATAAACTTTATGCCATGCTTGCTTTTATTGGGAAGCTCTATTCTTTTGTATATTACTATTTTACTTTAAAAGTTGTATCTTTTAAATTTTTTACTTAATTAATATTATTATCATCTTCAAACGAAGCAAGTTATTGGGTACTAAATCTTAAACTATGAGTTTAAAGGCAAATTTCCAAATAAAAGTCCGAAGTGTCCTCATTTTCTCAAATAAGAGCCTGAAAGTGAACTTTATCTCGAATAAAAGCATGAAGTGCTCTCATTTTCTCAAATAAGGAATTGAAATGAACTTTGTTTCAAATAAGGGTCAGAAATGGCTATATCGGTCTCAAAAAAAGGCTTGACCTCATGAGCTAGTAATGGCATTTTCGTCTTTTACTTTTTTGATTTTTTTGGTTTTTTTCTTTCTTTTTTCCTTTTCCTGTATTTTTCTTTCCTTAAAAAAACTCAAAAACTCAAAAAAAGGCTAAAACTTTAAAAAAAGAAACACACACACACAAGCCCTCCACCTCATCGCCGGTGGGGCAACAACGATGGCAAGCGGGATTGCCAGCCACAGGCTGGCCAACCAGCCCTCCCACCTGTATTTTTTTTTTTTAAAAAGAAAAACTTTATTATTATTTTTAATTTTTAATCTAATTTAACTAAAATTTAAGTTAAAATTGTTTTTGGATAAAAATGTCCTTGACTAGTCGGCGAGGTTAGGCCCTTATTTGAAACTATTATAGTCACTGCAGACCTTATTTGAAGCAAGGTCCACTTCAAGCCCTTATTTGAGAAAATGATGGCATTTCAAACATTTATTCGGAATTTTCCCTAGTTTAAATGGTTCCACATTGATTTTCTTTGGCCAACTACCAAAAAAAGAACGAGTATCGTCTCGAAAAAAGGACAAAAACTATAAGATACATATTATTGTAATTTTTTTGATAGAACATGGAAAAGTTCACATTTATATTATGATAAAATCTAAAGATGTTGTTATTACGAATCAACTATATCATAAAAGAGAGGGAAAATTTCATTTTGGTACCCAAAGTGGAAGCTTTTTTTCAATTTGGTACCCAAAGTGGACACAGTGTCAAATAAGAGCCTGAAGTGCTCAATTAATCTCAAATAAAAACCTAAAGTGCTCAATTAGTCTCAAATAAGGGCTTGGGTTCGCCGGCCAGTCAAATGCTCACCAGCCGGCAAGAAAGTTATTGTTTCGGCACTGGAACAATAATTTTTTATTTTTTTCTTTCTTTTTTTCTTTTTCTGTTTTTTTCTTTTCCTTGGCCGGCGGAGGGAAGAGAAGGAAAAAAAAAGAAAAGAAAAAGGAAAAGAAAGAAACAGAAAAAGAAAAAAAGAAAGAAAGAAATAATAAAAAAATAAAAATTATTGTTCCGGTGATGGAACAGTAACTTTCTTGTCGATCGGTGAGCATTTGATCGCCCAGCGAACCCAGGCCCTTATTTGAGACTAATTGAGCACTTCGGATCCTTATTTGAGACTAATCGGGCACTTCAGGCCCTTATTTGACACTATGTCCACTTTGGGTACCAAATTGAGAAAAAGCTTCCACTTTGGGTACCAAAACGAAATTTTCCCTAAAAGATATAACTAATTTGATTACATATATTATAAATATATTATCTGTGATAATCAAATTTCGTTAGTATTTCACGTTATCTGATAATAATAAATATAAAAAAACTAACATGCTCACTTGGGTAAACATCGGTAATATAATCGTATATTTGGGGCAAAAATTGATAATTAACGTGTTATATCATTAATTCCCCAATCCAAAGACCAAATCTCGTCTTCTTCTTCTTCCAATCCCGCCAATTTTTCGGCGACCGCCTCATAGAAAGTCTTTACCGTCATCACTGCAGAGAGAGAGAGAGAGAGAGAGAGAGAGAAAGAGAGAAGCGAAGGAAGAGCTCAGAAATGGAGTTCAACCTGAGCGGCAACGCCTTGAAGACCTTCGCTCGCTCCATCACCTGCCTCTCCCGCATCGGCAACGACCTCGCTATCCAAGCTTCTCCTTCCCAGGTCATTCCTTCGATTTCTTCTCCTTCTTCTCCGTCTCCGTCTCTCTCCCCCGCAGCTCCGGTCGAAAATTTCGCGCGTCGCGGCTGAAATCCATGCCGATCGTTCCTCGGCTTCATCCATCGAGTGAAAAAGCTGAGGAGTTGCTTCTTCGTGCGCCCTGACGAGCGATGCTTAGTTTAGATGCTATGCTATGCTGTTGTTAGGTCTTTGGCTCGTTGAGCTCGATACGGTGTCCGATTGACACATTTGAGAGTCGTTCCATCGATTGCCGAGTCTGTGGAGCTTTTGGCGGTGGATTCGAGGCAGAAGTTTGTTAACCTCGGTTGCGATTGGCCCTGTCGACGATTATTAGAACTCGACGTGCATAAAAATCTGAAGTGACTGAATGAATCTAATACCGTTGATGGGGTGATTCAAAGTCATTATATCATAAGATTAAGGCAATTCACTGCTATAACCAGGAAAACTATCAGTGGTACTCGCGGAAAATGTGGAATAGTGAATCCATAGGAGGAAAACCCTATGGATAACCTTCTATGGTCGCTGCTATTCTGTCTTGCTGGTCTTTCTAGTTACTTTGATGGTGTTATATGGAGTTTTGCAACACTCAATAAGTGAAAGCACGATTGCACTCCCTAGCATCTCTTATGTGACCATACTTTGCATGACTTCCTTTTGCCTCATTGCATTTAATTACCAAATAACAATGTAAGTTCCAAGTTGTAACTTGTAAGCTCATGTTTGGCACTTGGCATCATTTGATTTGAAATTAGGATATAAATAGTACTGATCTATGTACAAATATCACCTTCTTACTTGTATATATCAGATTAAGATTCTCATATTCGTATTCTACCTCCAGCTTTCCTTTCACGCACTCAATTCGTCAAGATCTGCCTATCAAATGATTACCTTCAAGCCAGACCTCTTTGATGTGTTTACAGTATCTGGCGCACAGGTTCAATGCAGCGTGCTTCTAAAGGTATATTGTCGCTGCTCATCTTTGTAGTATATTTGCTAGTTTATAGTTGTAAGCAACTTACAAACACTTACAAAGTACTCTATGCAGGCTGTCTGTTATGTCCTTAGAACACCTATTACAAACATTGATTACTTGAGCGTGCAATTACCAGACATCAATGCATCAAAAGTTCAATGGGCTCTGCAGTGCTTCAATGGTAAAGACCTTTCAGTTGTGTGTGTGGTGCTCTGAATTCATTATGTTGGAAATGGTGTATTTGATGGTTAAGATTGTAAGCTTGTGGCACGGATGGAAAAGCTAGCGGATTCCTTTTTCCCCCTAAAAATAATCTCGCTCCAATTCTATTGAAAAACAGCAGAAATGAAAGTCTTGAACTGACATGTTCATTGAGAGAAAATGACTTTAAAATGCTGTGAGAAGCATTTATACGTCATGTCATATGTGTCCACGGAGACGAACTTTTCTAATTTCTCATCATGTAAAAGCAGCATGAGCTCTGTCAAACGGATATTGCAGTGGCCCAATATTACCTATGAAGCCAACGAATTTAGAATAAAGAGACGGGGAAGTTATGTTAAAAATTAGATTCCAATGTCTACCGCTTTTACTTCTTTTTTATTTGGCCACTTACCATTTTAAGTCTTTGACTCAGTCATGCTAACTACATACTATTCAGTACGTTATCTAACTGCAATATAAATTGGAATGTGGCACCTGTCAAACCAGCATTAATTTGATAAGAAGCTGCACCATGCAGAGATACATGTTAATCTCACTGTGCCAACTGTTAGTTTTTGTTCATGCATATGTGATGTTGTCATATGTCTGCAGGCATTAAGAAAACATACTGGATTACTTGCAATGTTGACCCCGACATACAACAATTATCTCTGGATAGGAGAAGATACCCAAGCAATTTTGTAGTGAGGCCTCGTGATCTGAACAGATTGCTTGCAAATTTTCAGTCATCCCTTCAGGAAATTACTATCATTGCAACGGAACGCAACTCCGATCCTTCTGATGCTACAAGTGAACCCTAGATGCCCTCTCTTCTCTCTTTCTTCCCCCCAAGCATTTCTTTATTCTCTCCCCTTTCTCTCTCATCCCTTTTTTCCCAACCACTCGAGAGGGGGAGGATTACAACCAGTCAGCCATGTGTGGGATGCTGTCCCTAATGCAGGACAACAACCCCTATTAGGCCCCCTTAATTACACACGCGCCATTGGTTTTTTTTGTGGCCATTGGTGTTTGTAGCTTAGTGGCGAGCTAGACACGCCATTGAATTTTTTTTTTTGTAAAAGCTTAGCTGGGATTTCAAAAGGTCAAAGCCTAGGCCACTATCGTGAATAAGTGGGAGAAAAAAAACGGAAATTCGGACACGTAAAAGGACTTTAGTGTGCGGTGGTGCCAAGTTAATTTGTTCACATTGCATGATTAGTTTCGAATTTGGATTGATTTCTCTCGTATTGGTCGTTATAAGAATTCCTTACACCTTGTAAGGAGGAGAATGACCTAGTAAAGGGCGGAATTCGATTCACATTAAAAAGTCGGTCCATATATATTTCTCATTCTATAATGTCTAGGATCGAGCGAGCTTATTCAATTTCAATGCACTTCTTTTCATATTCATCTAATGGAGTTTAGAAAGTCCCCGCCCCTTTCCTTTTCATATGCGGCTACCAATTAAGGTCCGCATTGGCGGTTCGGGACAGAATTTCAAACCCTCCCCAGTGGCAATCCCGTAATTAACACCCGAACCCAAGCCCGGAAATTCAACTCCTCCCCAGTCTTATAAGGGTTGCCCCCTCTCTAGCCTTCGTTCTGTGTCTTTCAGCTTCACCCACGGCAGAAGAAGAAGAGCAGAAGAGCCAGCCTCTCTCATCTCCCATTCCACCCAACAAACAAATACTTCTACACAGAGAGAGAGAGAGAGAGAGAGAGAGAGAGAGAGAGAGAGAGAGCATCTGTTCATCTTCCAAGCAAGACCCAGAAGCAGAGGAACTCAAGAAATCACTCCTTCACTCATTCAAGCAAGTACCCAGAAACCAAAAGCAACTGTCGAGATGGCCAGCAACTTCTCTCCGTCGCCGCGGTCCTCTCTGTTCCTGATCTCGGCCGTCGTCCTGGCGAGCCTCCTCGTCACCGCCGCCCACGGCGGCGGCGTCGGTGTCGGGGTCGTCGGCGAGCGCGGCCACCACCTGGGGTGGGCCGGCGCCGCCAGATCGCGGTGCGAGGGGTCGATAGCCGAGTGCCTGGCGGAGGGCGGCGAGGGGGAGTTCGATCTGGACTCGGAGTCGAACCGGCGCATCCTGGCGACGACCAAGTACATCAGCTACGGCGCGCTGCAGAGGAACACCGTGCCCTGCTCCCGGCGCGGCGCGTCGTACTACAACTGCCAGACCGGCGCCAGCTCCAACCCTTACTCCCGTGGGTGCAGTGCCATCACAAGGTGCAGGGGCTGAATCATTATTCCTCATAAATTTTTTATTTTTTTCCTATTTTTTTGGGCTTTTTTCTCTCTCTTTTTTTGTTCTCATTTGTTGGGTTTTGATGGAGCTCATTAATTGTCATACGTTGTTGGGAAAGACAGAGAGAGTCTGGAGGGCAGTCTGTGTGGTGATTCTGATGGAAATATTGTGGGTATAAACGAGACGCATCTGTGAAAGATTGTTGCTTTCATCGTCTTTTTTTTCATTTCTTGTTTTTGAATTTTCCATGCTCATTTGTTGAATAACTGCGCCACATAAAGAAGATTAATAACTGTTCTTGGACCTCTACTCCATGGAGGATTAGACAAGATAGTAGTAGGTGTACCAACTGATGAAGCTGTCTTCTGCTGCTAGTGGCGAGCAATTTCCACCTTGCTGCACTGCAATCTGTGAGTCCTCTGTTTTAGCAATCATCTGGTGAAACTGTCTCTTTTCCCCTCTCTTATACCAAGATCTCATCCATTTTCCTCCACCCACAGAGCAAGAAAACTCATTAACGACTTCATCCTCAATGAATTCTCCTCCACCCACCAAAGCAAGGGGGAAAAGTTCTGAAATTTTTCTTGGGTTCTTTCAACTTTGGTAATTAGTTAATTTGGTTATACTTTTTGGGTATGTTGGATGATCTTTCCCCTTGTTCTCTGTGATCCTTGCTTGTCTTTGCATGCATTGTCCATGTTTTGCAAGAGGGGCTTTGAAATAATTGAGGGCTGTTGTTGTCAAAAGGAACATCTAAAAGAAGTCTCACCAACCGCCCCGATAGTGTTTTATCATGTGCTGTCTTTTGATTCTTGATTTGGGGAAAAGAAGGAAAAGAAAAAGGAAAAAGGTGTACCATATGTCAGGCACCTTTTATGTCCATTTTCATTTTGTTGGACCTTCAATAATTGGTATCAAAGCATATATGTATCTATATTTATATATCGACTTAAAATAAGGTGAAAATAATAGTTCCGATTTTACTCCTTATTTATTTATTTATTTTTAATAATTTTTTGGGCATGCCTTTTCGTTTAATTGATTTTATGGAGTCCATAGCAATGCCAGGCTGTCCTGTCATTTGGAAAATCTTTTCGGGTTCAAGTCTTCCACGTGAACTGTCTATAATCGGTGTCATATATATAATAATCGACTATACTATAGTAACGCGGAAAAAAAAGATAATAAAGATCATCTGAAGAAAATATTATTTTTATTATCGCAAGCGCGTTTTTTTTCTTTGTTGTCGTCATAGTCAGATAAATTTCATGGTATCGAAGGAGGCAAAGTATAAACACAAGTCGGAAGCAAAATGAGTCGGGAGTGCAAGAAAGGTACTCATCGCGAGGAGAACGATGGATCGATTCCTTATGATTTAGGGACGATCCTCGAGGAAACACTCGATAGATTTTTTCTTGTCGCGCTCTTTCAATTTAAGCTTTCGTGAATGTGAATTCTCGTGCTGTTAATGAATGACATGGTCCACCCGCAATCACCATTTCGGATTTTGCTTATTAACAAAAAATGCTGGCCGTGGTCCCCGTATGCTACGTGCGCTTTGCAAGACATAGGGAAGCCTAATAAATGATCTATCTCAATCCTAATAATGATCTATCTCAATCTTATTTTTGAGATGCGTTTTTTTCTTTTCCTCTTTGGCTTTGCCAAATTGCCGTGTTGAAAATCTTGGCAAGTTGCTTTACACGAAACGTAGGGGAAAACCCATGTGGCCATAATGCACGGGCGAGATCGACAAATTGTCATCAAATGGGTGGGACAAGAAGGTCAACAGGTCGTGATATGGAAAATTGCAAAAGCTAAAATCTTATGAACCGATGGGGATAGGCCACCGACACAGCTACGGTGAGGTCTTATGCTCACCAAGAGAATTTTCGCGTGAGTCGAGAACTACTCAGTTCATCCGCAAAATATACGAATCCGTCGCCGCAGCTCTACCGGCGTGGCGTGCCGGAAATTTCTCCGTATGAAGTGGTCAGATGGTCGAATTATAAAGTTGGAAATCGCTCGCGATACGGTTTGAATTGGCGATGGCGTGAAAGATGATGTGATCCCTTTACCGCTTGATTACCACTCTATCCCTTGATCGGGATTCTTCCGCCTTTTATTGGCATGGAAATGAGAGAGAAGAGACGTGAAAAAGCACAGGAACTTGATGCAATTAGCCAAAATAAAAGAAGGAAAAAAACATAGAGTACTCTGATAAATAGATGTCTTATCTTAAAAACATAAACGCGAAAGTGGCTAAAAGTGAATACTCAGCAAGTCGTGGAGAGCTCGAGATGATGGGTTGTTTTATCAACTTATGACATACGCAAATGACAGGTGTAAATTATGAGAAGACTTGCTTACCACGGACTCTTGAGTGGCCCGGCCAAGTAAGTATCCGCTAGTTCTAAATTTTGCATTGCCGTGATTTGATTGAAGTCCTCGGGTGGTCTAACAAACACCCAGCGTCATCGAAAAGAGTACAAAACAAGTTTAGTCATTTGTTGTGTAAATTATTGCACCTATGTCAATACAGTCCCAATCTTTTTAGTTTGACCAATTTAATCCTAAACCTTTGAAAAAATTTGCCAATTGAGTCGTTCCGGCCAGTTTTGACCGAAGATCGCTGACGTGGACGTCGACCAGCCAAGTTTTCACTTTTTCTTTCCTTTCATTTTGGCTGGCGAGGGCCTTTGCGCCCACGCCTATCGCCTACAGCAAACAAGGCCGCGATAGCCTCACCTAGGGCATTCACGTCCAATGAGGGCCGACCCCAGATCTGGCAAGGGCCATTGCGCTCTCACTTGTGACTAGTGTGGGCCCACGCCTAGGTTAGCTTGACACAATGATAAAAAAATGGGAAGAAAAAAATTATAAAAATTATCCATGTCAGCGTCAGTTTTGCCGCATAGGAAGACTGGTATCCACGTTAGTCATTTCCACCCAAAATTGGTCGGAACGACTCGATTGACGAGGTGTCAAAATATCTATGACTAAATTGACCGAATTAAAAAGGACTATGATTGAATTAGCACAAGTGCAATCAGTTTAGAACTTTTTTCGTGATTTTGCCGAACTGAAAAATGCTCGAGCTCAGAGCCGCTCGAGTCACCCTAAGGAAAAACAATATTTCGTATAAGTTTTATAATTAGCTTTATTTGACTCGAAGGATTTGAAAAGTTGGACTTCAAGTTAGAAGCCAAACACCCCCAAAACCTTGTATACAATACGAGCTTTTAATAATCGAGGTCGATTTATAATGTTCTTCTTCTTCTTCATAGTCCCGTTTTAAATCAGACCATTCTCCTTTTCGCTTTGAGTAGCTTTCTAGCATCGAGCGCCGATCCGACCCGAAACCCCGAACGGAGGCCCATCGCCGAAACTCACACGGGCCTCCAAACCCACTCCCTCCACCGACCCGGCCCGACCCGGGAATTCTCCATCCGTGAGCCTGCCGAGCCCACGAGCTGGTAGATTCCGTTGCCAATCTCTCTCTCTCTAGCAAAACCAGAGAAGAAGAAGAAGAAGGAAGCGGAGGAAGAAGAAGCAGCAGCAGCAGCAGCAGCTCGAAGAATTACCGCCGGACGAGAATGGCCGCGAGCCTGCAAGTCGCCATGGCCTCTCTAATCCCGCCTTCGACCTCGTCGCCCATCGGAGGAGGAAGGAGGAGAGGAAGGAGCGTCGACGGCGCCGGCGCCGCCGCTGGGGCCGTCCGCTGTTCCGCAATCAGCTCCAAGAGCTCATCCAAGCTCCCCCTGCCGCCAATCAACCCTAAGGACCCCTTCCTGTCGAAGCTGGCCTCCGTCGCCGCGGCCTCGCCGGAGTCGCTGCTCGACCGCCCCACCGTGAGCTCCGACACGCCCCCGTATCTGGACCTGTTCGAGTCCCCGACGCTCATGGCGACGCCTGCTCAGGTGAGTGAGCGAGGGAGCGAGCGAGCTTGACTCGGCGAGTTCTCTCGTTCGTTTTCTTTGTCCTAGTTCGAGGATTGCTCGGTCGATTGGAATTGCTCGAGGGAGCGAAAACTGCTGCGTTTCCTTAATTGATATAGCGGGCAAGTTCTTCTGAGACGGCATACGTAATTGCTTGGTGGATGAGTGCGTTATTGAGCGAATTATGTGACTGTAACTATGCCATTATCGAGTTTATTTTGCGCTATTTTGTTTCGTTTTTTCCGGTAAGCATAATAGATAGCAATACACGGTCTTATGTGGATTTGTTCTGCTCAGAGAAGCTTGGTTCTTCGCCTCAGGTAGTGGAGCTCACTTGGAGAGTTAATTTGTGGTTGAGTTTGAGAATTGCTCGGTTACGTTCCATCGTTGTGGCTTTTTGTAACTATTATCGTTTTGTACATTCAGAAGATACCGAAGTATCATTTATCAAGACATTTAGGACAGTAATTCTGGCAAAAGATATTATATATGGTGCTGCCATAGTGGTTTAAGGTCAACAGTGCACGAAATCAAGAGTGGTTTCATCATTTTTGGTATGTAGAAGTGAGAGTGTTGACAGCGCTCTTAAGAGTGTTGGTTTTGGTTTGACTTGAAAAGATTCTTGGTCGATTGAATGTCATGGAGCGCACGTTGCGAACTCAGTTGTTTAAGCCAAATTTGAAAATTTGAGATTTTCAAACAATCTTACTCAGACCAAACTGAGAATGTCAATGAAATAGTGGGATGACTTTATGAGCATCGTGTCATGAAATAATTTGGAGAGTGTTATTGGTTTTTCTTCAGCTGTAAGCGTCCACTCTCAATTGTTCATAACTCATAGTTTCTGGCTTTTATGCGATATAATGATGTCTGTACTAGGGGGAGAGCTCAGTCTCATTGAGTGAATTTTGTTATTTAACTATTTGCTCTTTTTAGTCAAAGTGAAAATATCAGTTTTTGAGACTCAGTGAATTGGTTTTTAGAGGATCGGTTTCCATTGCGTGACGATGTTTTTTATCAGGTGGAGAGGTCAGTTTCGTACAATGAGCACCGACCGAGGAGGCCTCCACCAGATTTGCCTTCACTGCTTCTCCATGGAAGAATCGTTTACATTGGCATGCCGGTAAGCATTTCTCATTAAATTGTCAGCATTTGTCTTCTTTTAAGCCGTTCAGTCTGGAAACACTTACTGCATCATGCCTAATGCGAAAATTGATACAGAATTAGCATGAAATGATCAGAGAAGCCAGTGGAATGTGAAGGAGTGTCTATAACTTCTAGAAAGGATGCTAATCAGGGCAAGGGAAAATGGAAATTGAGGCATGTGTTGAAAGAGAACTCTTTTTTTTTTTTCGCGCACTTGATTGGAATCTACAGATGATCTTATCATGTTTTGTTAGCTCCTGCTAGAAATAGTATCTTCTCTTTTTCCTCATTAGGAAACTGCTGTTTGCCTGTGGCCAGTCGACAATAACTGCTATCACCTTCTTCACTCCCCCACCCAAAAAAAACATGACTACTATGTCTTACAGCCGCTTGTTTGTTCAGAAGTAGATGATGTCTTTTTGAAATCGCTTATTTGCTAAAGTTACTAGAACTTTTCACCTGCTAATTGGCATTGATGTCAACTGCATTTTCTACGTCCCTATTTATTCTGTCTTTTCTTGCTTTTGGCAAGTCTCAGCTCCACCTCTTGTTGGTCTTTTAGACAGAACTAACCATTTACTGTTTCTCAGTTGGTGCCTGCAGTCACAGAGCTTGTAGTTGCAGAATTGATGTACTTGCAATGGATGGATCCAAAAGAACCAATATATCTTTACATAAATTCTACTGGAACAACCCGTGATGATGGTGAGACGGTGAGCTTCCATCTTTGTAGTGACTGATTTCGTACTGAATGTTCAAGCTTGTGAATGGTCAAGACCTGACCTTAGCAAAGATACAAGCTAAGTGGTAAGGGAAAACAGTTTATTTCGTTAGAACTTTGTTTTGAAATTACAATATTGCTTTGCAGGTGGGCATGGAGACCGAGGGCTTTGCCATTTATGATGCATTGATGCAACTAAAGAATGAGGTGAATTTTCTTACAATATGCATCTATGTCTGTGAACACTTCTGGTGACTTTCCAGTTATTACAGTAGGTACTTGATTAAATGGGGGTGATGCTTGGTGATGATTTTGGCTTCGTACTGCTTATTGAAGCTTAAAAATCTATGGATCACCTTGTTTTGTCCATATACTTTCAGTGAATTTTACACTTGGATCTAAGAAAAAGTTTTGAGAAGTGAAGCGTTCATATTTTCTCTCGTTAATTTTTTAAAATATGCAGATACATACGGTTGCCGTAGGTGCAGCTATAGGACACGCCTGTCTGCTACTTGCTTCAGGATCTAAGGGTAAAAGGTTTATGATGCCACATGCCAAAGGTGCGTTGGTATTGTGTTGTCATCTGCTATGCTATGCTCTTGTCCTTTTCTTGTCTGATGTCAACATAATATCGTTTCAGCGATGATCCAGCAACCTCGCGTCCCATCCTCTGGATTGATGCCAGCCAGCGATGTTCTTATCCGTGCAAAAGAGGTATCTAGCACTGTTCTATTGAGCTATACATATCCATAATGGACGTTCTGCTACTTGATAAGAAATGTATAAAATGTGTTGACTTGGAACTCGGCACATAGTCTCTATTTATGATGTTCATGTTGCTTCTGATGATTTTGTAGGTGATAACCAACAGGGATACTCTTGTAAAGCTTTTGGCTAAGCACACTGGGAATGTGAGCTCTCTCTCTATCTCTCTATCTCTCTATGCATATGTTAATGGGCAAGAGAGTAACTAATGCTGCATCTGAATCACTCTAGTCCGTAGAGACTGTAGCCAATGTCATGAGAAGACCTTATTACATGGACGCCACTAAGGCCAAAGAATTTGGTGTCATTGACAAGGTGAGACATCGTTGAGGGTATTAACGGTGTCTTTTAACGATCGTGCTCGTAGTGTGGACTTATCAGAGGTTGCAATTTTGGTTTTTCAGATTCTTTGGCGTGGTCAGGAGAAGATAATGGCAGATGCAGCCCCTCCTGAAGAGTGGGACAAGAATGCTGGCATTAAAGTTGTAGATGGATTCTAAAATTTTTCCAATTTTCAGATGGACGATTTTATGTGAGTTCCTGACTCCACAAAACTACACACGTCGTTTATGTCTAGCCAGATGAATTGCCATGGCAAAGCGCATAGACATTTCAAACTTCGCCTAGAGAATTACAATTATGTGATTCCTTGCTGCATGTTAAGAACCTATTTCTTAATAATCTACTTCCATTTCTTCATCGGGTTATATTCTTCCGAAGGACAATACTCCTTTATGCAGAGCATTCTTATCGATAGACAATATCATAATGTTGGAGAGAATTATGGTTATGGCAGGATTGATACCCTTATATTTGGATAAAGAAATAGTTTTGCTTATACAAGCAGATAGCTGTAGGAAATCTGGTGAGTCTGGTAGGATATATTTTTTTTAATCCTTTTTTCCGGTTTATGTGCCAGTTTTGTTGTTCTATTATTGGTGTAGTTCTTTGTTTTTCTTTCAGTAATATATGAAATGAATGACTGAAGGGGTCATACTCGTGGAATTTCTGTCGACACATTTGGTTCCATTTTATATTTCTTTGTTTATCTATTATTTAGTTGTCCTATTATTAGTGTTGCATCATTGTTTTAATTCCTTTGTTCAGTGCAGGAAACTGTGCAATAAGGAACTATGCATACTAAACTCAACTATGGAGCATCCCTGCAGGAGAATAACTGCCGTTTGTAATTAGCAGCTCTCCTGGAAATTTTCGACGTGTTGATCATATGACGATCATATGGACAGTTCGCCAGTGCACGAACAACAGATCGTGGATAGCGCATATAATTAGTTTCATTTTAGCTTCAAATGGGGTATTAGTTGGCCTGTAACAATGCTTCAGCCTATTGAATTCTTTTTCGTTTCTTCGGCCGGTTGTGCATTATGGTCCTGATTTTCGCCTGTCGCTGGGCATTTCGACTTCATTACGAAATTCATGAGCTGTAGGATTTCATAGCAGGTAAGCGCTCTTATAAATGGATTGCTCATTAATCGTACCCCTTTATGGTGCGATATCGACTTTAACTAGGTCTTTGAGGAGGATTGGATGTGTATGTTTGAACTTTTGATTCAGTAAGGACTGAAATAGAAATTCGCAGCTAAAAAAAGATAATTTGGTTTAGATCATGTTTGTGTCACGGGTTTATCTTACCCGTACGGCCTAAAAACTTTCTTCGCAAGTCAGTCTTACCTGCTCATACTCACAAGGATCTTTAGAGGGAAACACTAGAGGAGATTCTAGATTAGTCATGGTCATTCGTTCAGGAAACCTCGAGAACGATTCGTTTTCGTGGGCCGTGACACTTGCCTATGCTTGTCTAGATAGATTTTACTTTATTTTTTTGCTCAAATTAAAATTTGTGACTGACCCACCTAACTCGACATATCTGGAATTGTGGTAATATATGAAACCTGTTTTGCGATAAACTTTTCGAATGATTAGGTTGCGCGAATGTAGAGTAAAAAATGCGAACTTACGAAAGGTAATTTGAGAAAACAGCCACATTCATAAATAGTTATCCACGAAATAATGGAAGTCTCTTGCACAAAATGCTCAATACATTGTAAAGAAACTATGTTGTCAACTTTATTAAAAATTTGTGTAGCTTTTCCGAGGGAGGGTCGGTCGAACAGCGTTTTCTAAATCGAGGACCACCCCCGCGCCTTTGAGCCGTTCCGTAGCTCCCAATTGCAGCAAAGCCGAAATCCCCCCCGCGAGCAGGGACCGGCCTCTCGGATGAACGGACGAGATGCCGCGTCTCCACCGTAGCAACGCTGAGCCGGCTCACGGAACAAAAATATATTCAGAATCAGAGTAACTGTGAGGAGAGAGCTCGTTTGGGAACTCACTCACGACGACGGCCTCTCATCAGGCCGCACAGCGAAATCATTTCTCGTCTCGTAGGACCGCACCACCGCACACGGGCGACGGGGCTTTCCTTCCTTCTTCTTCACGCGCCATCCTCCCTCCTCCCTGCGCGAAATCCGTAGCCACATTCTCTCTCTCCTCGAGAGGAGGAACCGCCGTCCCGGCGAGCGAGAGAGGGCCATGGCGGAGGAAGAAGCTCCGGAGGTTGAGCTCAGCGGCAAGCAGAAGAAGGAGATCGCCAAGTGGTTCCTCCTCAATTCCCCCGGCGGCGAAATCCAATACGTCGCCAAAGGTTCCCGCCATTCATTCATTCTCCCTCCGCCTCTTGTTCTTTTTTGTCGTCTTTTCTTGTTTTATACGTTCGTTTTGATTTTTGTGATCGGGCCGTGGATTGTTGTTTCGAGTCGGTCTCGCAGATGTGAGATCGGTGCTGGGCGACGATGGGGCGTACGACGAGGCGGCGTCGGAGGCGTTCCCTGCTTACAACAAGGCTCAGATGATTTGCCTCGACATGCCCCGGAGGATGGGAGAGGTAAGCCCTTAGATCCGCTGCGCTGGAGATTCGCTGAATCAGTGAGTCACCTTTCGAATCAGTTGCATTGTACTATTGGTTAATGACGATGCGCCGTTTCGCCGTGATCCTATAAGAAAAAGTGGACTGGTTCGAGTCTCCGGTGTTGTTCGTTTGTGCCGGATGAGAGGTATAAAAGCTCGCGTATTGACGTCGCTGTGCCTGTAGGTTCTGATCACGTCATTTGGTCAGCTTGAGGAGAATCAGTACCTTGATCCACGTACTGCACAAGTTGGGATTGTCGACCACGTCAAGCAAGTAAGTATTGCGACAATTTGCACAATCTTTTGATTATCTATCTGCATTCAATGAGTATATTGATGGAAGTACAATTTGGTCCCCGTGCATTCGTTTTTTTTGTTTGCTTTTGGCTACATAATCTTGGTTTCACACATTGTTCCCCAAGCTCATGCTGCATTGTTGTGTTTTCTGTCCCTCTTTTGTTCTCAAGGATATTTGTATGATATATGCGGTCCATTTCTCTGATTGTCTGCTAATTTGGTTCAGGTTTGTACAGAGGTGAGACCTGCAACTGATGAGGAGCTTCCATCTCCATATATTGAGGAATTTAGGTGCGTTTCTTGTTTTTCCTGATAGGTCCCTTGACTCGTCCTCGCCAGAATACTTCTTCTGTTCATGAGTGCTTTATAGTATATGACCATAACAGTTATTTTTCCATCCTCCATCTTTTGTACGTCTCCTCTCTGCTACCTTGATGTGTCACATTCGAGAAGTTCATAGAACCATGGCGTAAAAGCAAAAGTGAATATGCATTACTGCATGCCCTACGTTCATCTTTGATTCTTTTTTTGGCCAAACCTCAGACTAGTCGAGTATTTTATTCCATGAATTCACTGCTATTTGGAGAAATATGCTGAATACCCTGAAACTAGAAATAGACTACAAGGCTTTCCTTTTGTGATGCTTGATACGCTGTGAAACTAGAAATAGCCTATGAGTCTTTCCTGTTTATGGCAGTCAAATAATTTGCTCTCATGATTCCTTTTCTGCCTCTATTCTTTCAGATGTGCTCTGGATGCAGAAGTGCTGAAATATGTTGGGGAGGCTTATCCAAAAGGTGTCTGTTCAGTTTACTGTACAAAGGGTAAAGATTTGGAGGGACCAGGATCTGATTTCGAACTTGCAGTAGTTATTCAAGCTGCTAGAAATAGCCCACAAAATTTCTGGTCAGTGAAGCTCATAATTAATTGTCAAGTAACTATGTCTCTTTCTTTGGTGCTGCAGTTCCATCTAAACAAAGAATGGTGGAACAATGCCCTCTACTCTTCAGTTTTTAATCAGTGAGTTTAGTTATTAGCTTCTGAATTTGGTTATTAGCAACTTACTTGTTGCTTTTGACATATTTGCAGCAATGGAAGTTGGCGCTCAGTCTGGAACATCGAGTTTAAGGATGATGTGCAAATTCTTGAGATAAGCAGCAAATTGCAGGTATATTGAGCTGATTTCCCTCCTCCATTCCCACCTTCTCAATAGCCTCGGTTATCTGAATTTTGGGAAACATAACCCTTGTTCTTATTTAGGTGGGTGCTCATTATTTTGAAGAGGGAAATGTGCAGTTAGATGCAAAGCATGAATGCAAAGATTCAACTTTATTTCAGGTTAGGGGCCACCACCTCTTTGCTCGCTTGACCATTTTTAGTGCCCAACAATCTAATGACAATATACCATGATGTGCTGAACTCATTGGCATTTGCATTTACTTCTTCCAGTCCCCTGAAGATTGTGCTATTTCAATAGCTAGTATAATTCGTCATCACGAGACAGAGTATTTGGGTTCTCTTGAGGTATGAGCAGGTTTGTTTACGTGATAAACTGTTAATTCAATCAGCATATTGATTTTCTAAAATCTATCAATACAGGCATCATATACCAATTTGCCGGACAACACCTTTAAGGTAACCATTTACTTTCCTAGGTACTAAATTAAAGATCTACTGGGTCATTTTCATGGCATTTTGACATATCTCTAACTTAAAAGGCACGAGCTTGGTTTTCGCCTGAAGAAGAGTGGTGGCTATTGAGTGACTCTGCAAATGCTTTCTCTGTATCTTTAATCATCTGCCTAATGATTTCTCATCCATGCCCCGTTATCCTTTGCTTGGTGTCACCCTTTTACTGCTTTATTTTTGTAAAGATGACAACTACCCATTGTCGCATCCTTTCTTCTTGCTGATATAGTGCTTGAGTTTGTTTTCATAGTTTATAAGGTTTTTCGGAAGTTGAATACACTTTCTTATAAGTTTTCTATCACTTAAGTATTGTTGTGATGAAATGAATGCAGGATCTACGGAGAAAGCTTCCAGTTACTCGCACCCTTTTCCCATGGCATAACACACTGCAGTTCAGTCTTACAAGAGATATCTCCAAAGAACTTGGAATTGAAAAGTGAAATTACAGTAAGATGAGCCAAGATCCATTTTGTTTGAGGTTCAAGGTAGAGATTACTTATTCATCTGCTAGAATTGAAGGCATTGAGTATGTATGTTTACACAAGAAACTTTTTGAATCTCGTGTATCTTTGGGTGCCCCCAACTTTTTGTGTCCTTGTCAATTGCTTGCTGTGCAGATTACACCTCTACTAGGAGTCTAGGAGTCCTCAGTTTTGGCAATTTTTTTGTGTGACCATTTCTTTAAGCACTGTATAGTGAGGTTACGAGAGGTCCTCATATGAGATCAGTCGAGAAGAATGTTGTGACAAGTGAATTTATTTCCCCACAAAAGTTGTGAAGCCAAAGTCATTTGATTCAATCAACCTGAGTGAAGATCAATACATATGCTTTTGTATATTGTGGCTTTGAGCTAGCTGTTCTAGTTGGAAGGTTCTATCTATGTATTGGAACATCTCTCTGTCTCTCTTTCTCTCTCTCACACACACACACACGCGATGAGCATGGTTGCTAACATGCTTTCTGAAATTAAAGTGAAGTAGGTCCTACCCAGCTTGTTGGTAAAGGTTTAACCTGGGACTTTGATGCCGGGACTAGCGGATAAAGGTTAGAATGGTAAGCTAAATGGCTAATGTTAGTCTTTTTTGCTCCATTGTAGCGCTCTTCTTTTGGCTGGGAGACTTGCATAGTTAGTTGAGGTTGCAAATCATATTTGTGTTGCAAATCTTGCCAATGCTTGCAAATTATTGGGGACAGGATGGACTGCTCTGGCAGCTGCATATGTCAACCCAGTTCTTATGAGTCCTCTGTAAAGAAAGGCAAAATCAACTTTTCTACTTGTGAACTTAACAAATCAAATGAAAATGAAAACCAAGAGAACTATTATCGTATCAATTTGAAATCTTCAAAAAGATCAAAGCACCCACAGAAGAAAAAATAAATTAACTTAACAGACTTCAAAAGGATCAAAGCATCCATAGAAGATACGAAATTAGCTTATTTGGTTCTTAACCAATGATGTTCGAATTAGATGAACTGTTTATGCCTTCTTCAGTTTACAGGTGAGAGCTGAGAATATATTTTAAAGGGTCAATTGAGAACATGATGAAGTTCAGTTTCCTCATTTGTGCTATTTTCCTCTCTGGGATGATGCAGTGTAGCCAAATCAGACACAAATGTGCTCCAGAAGGCATTGTCTTTTTAAGCCTGCAATATTTGCTTGGCTAAGTTGTTGAAAGTAATGCAATGACATAGCTTTGCCTTCTGTCGAAGCGCATCTCTGATGAAAACAGCGAGATTGGTTGCTCACTGACCAGAGTTCTGCCTATCAGTGTCCCTGAATTTGCCTTGCATTTATTGGAATTTTTCAGTTGATATTTTGGTTACTTTGATCACAGTGATGTCCGAATTATATAAAATCAGTACACTAGCACGTAGTACCCATTAGTTTCTTTCTTTCTTTCTTTGTGAATGGCTCTTCAAATGATACCTGATTGTTTTTCCATGAATATCTTCCGAAACATGCTTTGCAGTGGAAGCCGGTTATAATTGTACTAAGCTTAAATATATAGACTCTGCCGTACCATTAATTGCTCTTCAACTGGGTGACACTAGAGACCGTTTGTTGGATTTCAATTACGGTTGCTTGCTTCAGCTGTTTTGTCATTCCTCTTCAAAAATCATATTCTATGTCTTAAGGTTGAATATGCGAATTAAGTATTTGCCGCTTAAATTTGGAGTGATCTGCTTAAATAAAGGACCAAAAGCGGGGCTGATGCCTGTAAAGTTACTGCGCCGACTGCCAAAGAGAATTGATCTATCGAGCTTCTTGTTTTCTGGATATTAAGTTCGCTTTGTTGTTGCAACCCTAATACATGCGACGTCAGACATCCTGAGAATTGTTGAACAGCTCGGATCATCCTACTGTCTTTGATCATGGTTTCGGTAGTGGACAGGATTGAGTACCAGTTAGTTTGTGTTTTGACAATGAGTAAGAAGAAATAAAATCGAAGCGACTTCAAGGCACCAAGCTATTGAATGCACGAAGCAGGATTAGTTTAGGATACAACGAGTTGAGTATTGGCAAACTCACTTTCCTTAGTCGGATATTGTTGTCGATTGTTTGATAGATTTTTTATGAAATTGAGTTGAGACCGAGAAGTGCAAATCTTAGTTACTTATGTGATAAAAGTTTGGCTAAGATCCGGGCTAAAAGACACTTTGTTGTATTATGGCATTGCTAAATCTTAGTTTCAACAAGCTATCGAAACCAAAAGAGAAACACTTCAAACATAGAAAGTAATATGAAACGAAAACGAGGCAATAATTTAGAAGTGCGTTTTTTTCGTTGAAAATGTATGATTTAGAAAATATTTTTCTAAAATAATCACTTGTATTGCTTACAAAAATGAACGATAAAAAAAAAATTTCACCGTTCATTAAAATATTAAATATAAATTATTATCAATAACAGAATCCGTCATTTTAAAAAATATATGTTTTAATTTTTTTTTTCTTTACGAAACAGATGAAGCCTAAATGATTGATGGCTCGGAAATTCTCGGATGGTCCCACGTGAGGTGTCGAGTCTTTGACTATTAAACGGCGGAAAATTATGGATTTGAATTCTTAAAAGAGGACCGGCAATAATTAAACGAAAAGGACAGCCACAAGAACGCCAAAACGAATCTGAATCAGCACATCAAATCCACTTCCTTGACTTTGGTCCTACCGAGGTGACTACGACTGGTTTGATCGATCTGGAATCTATAAACAAAAATTGCAGAGCGCCGAGACGTATGAGAGCCATATAATATACAGCGAAACGACAATATCGCACATGTGCAACTGTCACAAGGATACAATTAGCTGAAAGTTATATGCTCAGGAACTCTTGAGTTATCTTCAGCCTAACGCATGCACAGCTACCCCGGTCGCCTATAGCTCACATCGTTCGTCTTCTTCCTCCTTCACCGTTGCAACTTTGGGTGGCTTGCCGTCGCCAGTGCGCCGGAAAATGGCGGAGATCAAAGCCCAGGCCGCTCGCCGCGATCACGAGTACCCTGTCGTCATGCCGGACGCCGACGTCCCCGGCGACGGGCCCCGCAAACCGAAGCGCGTCACTTCTCTGGACATCTTCAGAGGCCTCACCGTCGCAGTACACTTCACCTCTCTCTCTCTCTCTCTCTCTCTCTCTCAACAATTCGAGGCTTGTGATTAGTTGTGACCGCGAAGTTCCGTGCTTGTTGCGGAAGCTTCCTGTCCGATTGTTTTCGTCTTTTCAAGATTGTTTGGGCGGTCAAAGCTCATTCTCGAGTTGGGTGATGGGTGCTCTGTGAGTCTGTGTTGTCTATGGTCTTACTGTTCTTGTACTTGAATACTGAGTTTGACGTTTTTTGTGAGAAGCGCTTAGCTTATGTCATGAGTTTTTAGCTCTTGAGCTGATTTTTGTGCTGGGTGACAGCGCCTCTGATTTGGTGGAATTCTATACTCGGTAATCTTTTGAGTTGCAATTTCAGTACTCCCGAGAGCTCCGTTTGTTTTGCTCTGTTTATGTCAGAATAAGTGTTTACTTTTCGTCTGATAGCGTAGCATGTTCATGATGTCTGAATGACTGCTTACTTGTTTTATGACGAGTTAGTGATAAGTGCGCATTGGTGAATGGTTTTGGCCGCCGGTGAGGGAGGGAAAATGGTATCTATGATGGATAATTAGCGTAGTTTTGATTTACATGTTCTTCTACTGTCTGGAATTTAATTCTCTCACAGTTTTCATAGTAGAATCTTAGATACTTGTGTTCTCATATGCGCGTTATGTGTTTTGTGTTTTAGCTGATGGTTTTGGTGGATGATGCCGGAGGAGAATGGCCTACGATTGGACATGCGCCGTGGAATGGTTGCAACCTTGCTGATTTTGTGATGCCTTTCTTTCTTTTTATTGTGGGTATGGCCATTCCGCTTGCTTTTAAGGTTTGCATTCCTCGCATTTTCTATTCGATAGAACAGAATCGGTGGTTTTGCAAAACCTGTGGGCTTTTTTAACTTTTTGGTCTTTTCCTGTAGAGAATTCCTGATCGGTTTGAAGCCATTAAGAAGGTGATATTACGGACTCTTAAGCTCCTCTTCTGGGGTCTACTGCTGCAAGGTTAGATGTCCGTAATAGTATGTGTATTCTTCTTCTATGGCATCAAAGCAGAATTATATTGATGATGTGCAGTTCCGAAGACAAGTTTTGTAAAGGAAAAGGAACTTGATGTGATATGGAAAATCTCCATTTGCATTGTACTTTTGTTTGGTTTCTGTTGGTAGTAACTAGAGAGCAAAGGGGTGAAAAACTTGAAATAGAGTGGAGCCAGTCAATTTGATGTTTGCCTGGTTTCATCATGTGATGCAGGAGGTTACTCACATGCCCCTGACAAACTATCATATGGCGTTGATATGAAAATGATAAGGTGGTGTGGCATTCTCCAGGTAATGTGATTACTTCTACTTATAGTTCATGTACTTTTTTGTAAATTTTGATTTGATAGTATAGTTTTTTTTTTTGGCCCAATGACAGAACAGTGCATGTGTGTATTGTTTACTTGCAGAGAATTGCTCTTGCATATTTGGTGGTGGCACTGGTTGAGATTTTTACAAAAAATCCACAAGTGAATTATGAATCATCCTGCTCGTTCTCAATCTTCAAAAAGTATTGTTGGCACTGGTTGGTATCCAAAATTTACCAACTTTTCTTGGCATTGGGAGCTCTTGAATCTGCCATTTCAGTGATGCATCTGCTGAAACAGCTATTTTCTATGTCAAATATTAGGTTGTTTGGAGCATGTGTTGTTACTGTTTACTTGGCTATTCTTTACGGGATATATGTTCCTGATTGGCAATTTGCAGTCCAGGACAGAGATAATCCCAACTATGGGAAGGTTTTCAGAGTAAGTCCGTTCTGTGTCCTAGTCTCACTGTACCTTAAATGACGTCTGACATTCTTATAATTCTATGTCAATTCTAGGTAACTTGTGGCACGAGAGGAAACTTAGATCCTCCATGTAATGCGGCAGGATACGTTGATAGAGAAGTTCTTGGAATTAATCACATGTATCCGCATCCAGCTTGGAAGAGATCAAAGGTGCAAGATGATTTACCTTGCTAAATCAAGAGACTTTATTTCTTATGTCAGCAAAGTAGTTATCTATAGCAGTTATAAATGGTTTATTGTCTCTGAAGTGCTGCAGGATTGCACTGTGAATTCTCCATATGAGGGACTGATGCGGAATGATGCTCCAGCATGGTGTTATGCACCTTTTGAACCTGAAGGAATTCTGAGGTCTGTCAAACATTTTTGTCTTAAGATGTTGAGTCTTTTTGTTTTGCTGTTTGCAGATGGCTATTAGCTTGTGGCTCGAGTTTTCTTATACCATCTGATAGTCCCCATTAAATCGTTAAAATATCAACTTACAATCTAGAGCTTTTATGGTTATAGTTATTCTGTGAAGCTTTGTATTGAACTCTGTGTCCATGACATATTTCTTTGTGTTGCATATTGTGTTTTATGTCATACCAAAGTTTACTTTTGGTAGTATCTTCTATAGTCTGACCAAACAGGTTTTGGGATGTGGTTCTTCCCCCTAATAGGCAACGATTCTTCTCTTGACAACTTGTTGGAGCATTTTCTCGATTTTAGCCCACTTCAATGCAAAAATCCTTGGCTTGATGTTGGGGTTGCTCCATTCTGTTCTTATGGCTCCATGTCATGGACACAACCTCCCCACAGGGCAGGGGTAATGCATGGGAGCCTTGTGCAGTGGGTCACCCCTAACATACCTAACTGCCTTGTAAACTCTATCAAATGCTCTGCAATATGTGTCCCCATCTTTATGTAGCAGAATCGTCATGATAATTGCTATGTGGTTAAAGTGGATCTTTTTGTTCGCAGTTCAATATCTGCTATTCTCTCCACAATAATTGGAGTGCACTGCGGTCATGTGCTCTTGCACTTGGAGGTAGGTCTATTAGTCTAGGTATAATGAATTTGTCCTAGTCTTTTCTTGTTTGACTTATTTGATGAACAACTTTTTCAGAATCATTCGACCAGACTGAAGCACTGGGTTCTCTTGGGTCTTTCTTTGCTTATTTTGGGAATAATTTTGCATTTCACTCATGGTTAGATCTTTATAATATGATATGCACGACTTTGATTTGTTCTTTTATGCAGCTCTTAGTCTGCATGACACTTCTTTTCCTTGGATGCAGCAATCCCTTTAAATAAGCAGTTATATACACTCAGCTATGTCTGCGTAACAGTTGGTGCAGCAGTGTTGGTATTCTCAGCCTTCTATGTCCTGGTATATATCTTGTCGTCTCATGTTTCTCGCAGTAAATTTTGGTTTTGTCGTCAATTGTCTGCACCGAATGATCTAACTAGATAGAAGCTGAAATTGTGGAGAAACACAGTTTGCCTGAATTGCATAGAGTCAGTAACATGTATATTACACAGCTAAGCTTTAACCTAGTTGATTTCATCATTAAGGCTTAATTGACTTGAGATGAGTGTGTCCATTCTTCTAATTTATGCATATTATTGGGAGTGGCAAGCATATCAGCATGGTACAAGTACTTTGAGCGGATCATTCCCAGAGTTTGCATCCCGGTAATGATTTGTTTTAACACCACATTATGTTAGCTGCAAGTGAAGTCTACTTGGCGACCACTTACACAAGATTGTGCTGGCATCTCCAGAAAATCACGATGCATAATTTCTTCTATCTTATGTGAAAACAATTTACTTATGTAATTGTCTCCTTAAAAATGGGGCAGACCAGCTTAGTGGGAAAACTCTTGGGAAGGTTGGTGGTGGGTGTGGTTATAAGTGTAACTTGTGATAGATGACTGAGTTCTACGTTGTTATGCTAGGTTGATGTATGGGGTCTGCATCTCCCATTTCTTCCCTTGAAATGGATTGGCATGAATGCAATGCTAGTGTATGTGATGGCAGCAGAAGGCATATTTGCAGGATTCATTAATGGGTGGTATTATAATGACCCCCATAATAACCTGGTATGTCAGTATAACCTTTCATGCGTTCTTACTTTTTTTCTGCGAGTCACTCCATGAACCCTTGCGATGAGAAGAGCACTGAAATAAATTGGGACTATTGTCCAAAAGAAAGAAACATGGTTGGATCCACCCCTCCTCTTTTCCCCTACAGAATATGCCGAAATATTTTGTTCTTTCATTCGGTTGAGCTGTTGTTTCTTTCCTCCGTAATATTAATTTAATGGAGCAGTAAATGCCCTATTTGCAGATACCCAATCAAAGATAGTGTTATACTTGTAGAAGTTAATCCTCTCACATATAGGAAAATTTTACTTCTGATGTTAAGGCTGTTTGAAATTTGCACGTTGCAGGTATATTGGATTCAAAAGCACATTTTCATTGGAGTTTGGCACTCGAAAAGAGTAGGAATTCTTCTTTACGTCATCTTTGCGGAGATCCTTTTCTGGGGTGTTGTTGCTGGCATTTTGCATTGGCTAGGCATCTACTGGAAGCTGTGATTTCCATACGACCCGACCCACACAACCTAGTTAGCTTGTCACTGCAAAATGCAGGTACTATTGTGATATAAAGGTTCTGGCTCCTCATTCATTCTAAGAATTGATTTTAGCTGCTGCTACCGCTAATATTAGCAGCAGTAGCCTCAGCCGAGTCTGCCCACCTGCTTATTCATAAGAGAACCCACATTCTCAAGAGCTTTCATGATCCATTCGTTGCAAGGATTTATTCCCAAGAGTTCTAGACATGCTTTCTCAAGTTCCTGAAAAGAAACCTCAGGCATTCTAATATACAACAACATGACAGCTGGTCACCTCCTATTTCCAGTGTAGCCTTCTTTATGTTCAACATCTTCTAATTCTGACTTGGAGATCAACCGGAATTTGTGGTGGCACAGAAAGTAGTTTCCTTTTTATCAACTTTTGAACCAAAACACCTTGCAAAATAAAGACATGTAATAAGAGCAACGGGCGACCTGACTTTCCTCGCTCCACTTTAAGAAAATGAAGACTTCAACCCATGGTAGGCTCCACTATTGTGTTTCTCTGTCGCCAAAACTTTTGATTGATCTCCAATTTAGAATTATAAGACACCGAACTCGGAGGAGGCTATACTGGGAATAAGAGGCGAGCTATTATCTTTTGTTGTATGGTTTAGACTGTTCGAGGTATCTTTTTCTGAATTTGAGAAAAAAATGTCTCGTGCTGTTGGGAGGAATCCAGATTCTAATCCTTGCATAGAGGGGATCCTGAAAGTTCTTGAGAATGCAGGTTCTCTGAGTGGACGCGGCTGAGGAAATGTTCAAGCTCTACCTGGATCGATTAAAGAAACTCACTGATGTTCAAGCAGGAATACAAAGTAGTTTGTATTGTACCGCTTACGTGTCATTCAGAAGACTCGATTTTTATACTCTGGCTGCGAAAGCCATTCATTAATAACGATAGAAATTTCACACGATTGGTCAGCCAGAGTTCTTTAAGGCATCAAAAACTTCACCCCTGTTTTGGCAATGTTTCAAACGTAGTGCTTACTGGTAGCTGCCATTTTGGCGTAAGGACCTTCCTACTATGGTGGGAAAACGTTAGCAAGTTTTTCTTTAGATGGATGTAAAGAGTAGCGCGATTTTCGGTTTCCCTCATTCTCTGAGTTTAGATGGATTCCCCTTCGATAATGTTCTATTCTAAACTGTGAATACTATTGATATGACGAAACCATAATATTGCAATGAAAATTATGTTGGCGTTCTGCAAGATAATATACCAAACATTACCAAATTGGAGAATGTATATAACGTAACACCATAATTGGGACCCTGCTCCTCCGTGAGAAGCTATGTTATGGAGTGTCCACATGCAGTAACGCAAGTCATTTACTCCTTAGAAAACTCTCTATTCAGGTCCAAGGCATACACTATAGCTCTTCATCAAGATGCTATTGGTATGACAGACTCTCCTGTTGCGATCACAAAAGAGCACACAAAATGCACATTAGTCTGGCGATCTAATGTTTCAATTTGCCCCAATGTAATGCCCGGACGAAAACATATGGTTAAGGCCTCTTTAGTCGGAGAGCTCGGCCTCCTTTTCCGTTTTTGGTGACGACCGTCATATTAGATGCCTTATCACTTGCTTCCCAAACTAACATTAAACCACAGTCCAAGGCCAAGCCATAGAGATGGATATGTCGGATTCATAAGCCAAAATGCTAGATTTTCAAATTCTTGTTATTGTATGGCATTGTTCGTGCCATTTCGAGACCTTGAGGTTTTACAAAATCTTACGCAACAAAAAGTCCATTCATCTGAGCAGGATCACATAGGAATCATCTCCCTCGCTCTAAGTCTAGATTGACGTACTGCCAGTGCCAGGTTATATGACGTTTCCAATTTCAATGACGGAAAGCCAAGCCAGAGATCAGACTCAGATCTTGACCAAATGCCATAAGACAAACAATCAAAGATGACTTCGAGCTGAACAGTTTTGGGGCAGTACGAAATACCAATAGTTTTGGTGTAATTGTTCAGAGGACCATCACTTAGAAACCAAGATAGCAACTTCTAAACAGGGCATATCAACATTGAAACTTTATTTCTCAATTAACTAAAAGTTTCCATGTACTAAATTTAGTAAAAAAGAACCTAAACCAAAAGTCAGACGGGATAGTAAGGCATAGTTTGTAGCCTCTTTCTTTGTATATAGAACAGAAACACACAAAACCATTCCCAATCTAGCGAGTACCACCGTAAGAAAGCCGGTTTAACACTTGACTTCCTTCAGTCCATGGGCAAAGTAGAGGAAAGTAGGATCAGCAGCACCTTCCTTGTAATATGCAAACACCATGGTGCCATCATCATGCATGCTCTCCCCAACGAAACTGCAAAAATAACCGGATTGTCAATCAATCAACTTCGCCAATCATATTTGGCGAAGCAAAAAACAGATTAGGTGCTAATTTTTTTTGGTAAAATATTAGTCGCTAATTAAGTCATGAAAAAGTGCTAATTAAGCCGAGCATCAATTGAGAACGCTGATGCAATTGCGGGATCGAACTTACAATTGGAGGTCAATGAGCTTAGAAAGCAGGAACTTGGTGGCTCCCTCAATGTGCTTCTTGAACAACTCTTGCTTCTCTCCCTCCAACTTGGGCGACAGCAGCTTGATGTACCTCTTCATGTAAGTCACAAACTGCTTCTTGTCAAAAGCAGGTTGCTCCTGCAATCACCAGAACACATCATCCGAAACGTTTCGTGCATTAGAGGTCGATAGCTCCAAAAGACAATATCTAGAGCTATGGAATAAAAATCCACTGACCTGAAGCCTAAAGGTGTCGACGATGTCCACGACCTTCACGACCTGGTCATCAACACCCTCGTCTTCCCCTCCGCCCTCTGCAGAAGGGTTGGCCCCAATATCCACATCGAGCGCTCCTTTGACAACCCACTGCATGTCCATGATCGCAACTTGATGTAAATTTTTAAATCACGAAATCACCCTATTATAAGTTATCTATTATCATCAAATCTGAAACGCACTACTGCATATTATTCATGCTAATCCATCCTAAGGAGTAAAACTAAAAATATGCCTTTATGTTAAAAACAAAGAGGAGATAAAACTGACCTTCCCTTCCACTTCCCAGAGCATGCCATTCTCAATTTCCTTGTATGGGAAGGAGTCGGACAAGAGCTCATCGCCTGAAAATAGTAACAAGAAGATGAAAGAGTATTATTACTCATCACCACCAAAAACACAGATGTTATTGGCTTTCGAGACATGGGCACATCAAAGATCATGCGTACTATGTCGATCTTCAACGCGTCCTATTACAACCACCAATCTCCAAATAACAAACAAGGCTTCTCGTCACCAAAACTGTTCACAAACTTCTCACTCTGTACACAATTCGGAGTCTCACAGACCGCGCACTCACAGAGGAAAACGCCGAAACATATTCTTGATTCAGAGAACCTCAACTATCGAAAGAAACTAAACAACGGAAATCCGCAGCATCCCACGGAGCAAACATCAAAGGACTGTTCCCTCAAAAAAAAAAAACGAAACAAAAACAAAAACAAAAACAAAACTCTACCCAGAAAAGAAAAGGAAAGAACTTCGCTTTCTTTCTCGATCGTACTCCAACGATCACCCAAAAAAAAGGATTCTTTCCACCAAGACAAACGAAATTCAAGAAAAGAAAAATCCGGACGACCCAAAAGTAAAAAAAAAAAAAACACAAAGGGGTGCGCCGGCATCAGCAAAGAATAGAAAAGGGGTCGCAGTACCCGTGAGCAGATCCTGATAAACGAGCATGGTTGCTTTGCTGAAACTCTGTTTCTTCCCCCCCTTCTGAAACGAAAAATTCCCTCTTTCCCTCGGGGGCACAGAAAGCTAAAAAAGACACAGAAAAAGAGAGAGAGAATGGTGAGACTCGGAGAGAAGATAGCGCGAGGTGTGGGGCGGCGAGACTTTATAGTGGCAGTGCTTATCGGAGGACGCACAATTATATTATAGGATTATTTCCTATTTTATACACTGTGTAGTTCTGATGGGATATATCCTTCTTGAACTAGGAGTACTAGTGCGGGCGTTCTCTTGCCGTGAAATTCCCATCGTGCCCCCTCCGATGCCTTTCGGGTAACCTGTGGAGGCCGACACGAGGGACAGAAACATCGGAAAGTTTGACCACCGCCACCACCGCACCCGGATGTCCGAATTCCACTCGAACTTGGACTCTTGTTTTTCTCGGATCTTACTCGCGGTAGGTTCCCCAGCTGCTCAGGATACCATTTCTTTATCTTTATCTTTTTGTTGTAATTACGAATAGATAGACAGCCTACTTGATTTGAACAGGAAGGATTTCGTTCGTAGATAGCAAAATTTCTCTCACGGGTCGCGCCTATATCTTAAATTATTTTAATAGATGGCAAAAGTCACAATAAAAAATCTCAAATTATATCATCCGTGTGACACGTTTATCATAAACTTTTTTTCGTGATATAAAAAATTTTCAAACTTGTACCCGACACTTGTGTAACATATTTACCCTCCGTAAAAGTTTCATTAACAAGCACCGTTAAAAATCTACCTACATGGACGCCGGAAAGCAAACGGAATTGATATGACCCTCACGTGATATTTTGGCTGAAAAATCATTCGACAAAACCATTGACGGAGGAGGGTAAATATGTCACATAGGTGCAATTTTGAAATTTTTTATGTTACAAGAAAAAAATTTAAGATAAATATATTACGATAGGCATGATTTGTGATTTTTTTTGTGGCTTTTTTTCCTTTATTAGATGACTTGGGAACATTGTGTCAAGAGGATGAACGAGATTATTATGCATAACGTAATTCTTAATGATTAATGTTTCTGAAGCATTCAATGATAACTTCTGTCCTTAAAACGTTGCCCAGAATCTGACATTCTTGCACAAACTTATAACGTATAGAATCTTGGATGACGACGTGTTTAGATCTACGGATGATTGAAGCTCGCATAGCATTAAAAAGCAAATGCAAAAGGATGGATGCCGGAAATAGAATAAGAGCAATCGCACGTTAAAGGATGGATTCGCGTATTTAGATTAGGCGTGCAGAAAAGATTCGTCCCTCTCGCATCTTTAAAGTGTAGATGATTCATGTTTGACCATCAAATCCGGCTTTAACTCAACGTGGTATTTTAATGGTGGAGCTATCGGGATGATTCTTGCGCACGATATTAGATCTATCCAAGTTGATTAGCAAAGGTATCGCTCGCTGTTAGTGTTCATACATCACAGAAGTTGTACCTTCGCCTCACCACACGGAAGTTGGACACGTGAAAGTTGACATTAATGGCAGGAATTAGAATCAATATATCTTATACAGAGAGTAATAAAGTAAGTCGCATAACAATTAGCTATCATCATCCTTGTCCAAGAGATATAATAGTAGATAAAATAAGGTTTAAGCTGGACGATTCTACTAAATAGTCATGTTTACTTAGGACGTCATGAATGCAATAGTAAAACTTCCAACAAAGAATGGCGGCACTTTTGAGATGAACTATCGATGCAATAGAGTTTTGCAAATTGAACCTAGCGGACAAGATAAAACAGGTCCGGCTGAGATCACATTTGTCGGTCCGATCATCTATGCTCGGCTCAAAATGCACTATAGATGTAGAAATTGATTAACTGGGCCTCGGAAAAGGTATGCTGAATGTCTTCCCTTGCTACCATGTATTGCCAAACACGCAAGACGGTTCAGCTAGGAACTGACCTTGCGGGTCAATAATTATACCCAACCTGTCCTAATAATATATAAACATGGGGTACCTGAATAGGTCATTGGTTCTCGATTAAGGTTAACCATCAAGAAAAGGGTTAAATGGAGATTCGTAGGATGATTTATCTATCGGCTACTACGAAAAATATTTCACGAACATGTGAACCCATATTGCTATTTTGATCTAGTAAAAAAATGATTTGATCAACTTATGAAGTGGTTATTAGTGTGGAATTAAAATGAAATCAGACAGGATTAGGTGGAAGGGAAAAGGAAATGGTGGACTCGTTCCTTTTCTCAAGCGCCATTTGATTAAAGTGAAAAGAGAACATTTACATTCTTTTTTTCTAATAAAAGAAAAGGAAAGAAAAGGGTAAGAGTGCAAAAGGCATATGCGAACATCCATTTCCATAATTGAAGACCAAAAGTGAATTGGTCCGAGAAAGTTCATGGCATGGGGAATAAGAAGGCAAGGCGGACAATTTTGACCAACCGAGTTCCATATTGGATCAAGCCATATGAACTCAAGCCATGCACATAGGCATACGTAGTCCTGAAGTTTACCGCCAGAGTGTAAGTATTAGCGTGCCCTTTTTAACTCCACCAGCAAGACAACAAGATTCATTTCTGAAGTTTCTATCAAACCATGCTAGCGACCGCCGCTTACACCCAATGACTTTTGGTCCGGTCCTGCTATAGAGACAACCGGTTATCGCCCTGTCTCCGGTGGTCGTCACCTAACCGAACAAAAACCAGGATTTCAAGCATGCGGGTTCGATAGGACTTGCCACACTCCCATCAATTTACGTCACGGCCAATTAGACGGAAAGATTAGCAACAGCAGCTGTCTTTGACTCCATGCAAAATCGAAGAGACATGGTTTAAAGAGAAAAACACAGTGCAACTAACTAGGCTCAATCCGGCCAGGGTTAAAAATACCAAACTGCGGGCGTATCAACACGATTGCACTTTGACGTTAGCAACAGCAGCTGACTTTGGTTCCAGGAAAAATCCAAGGGACATGGTTTTAAGAGAAAAACACAGTACAACTAACTAGGCTCAATCCAGCCAGGGTTAAAAATACCAAACTGCTGGCGGATCAACATGATTGTATTTGGATGGTAATTCAAATATTCTAACTAGTTTTAGTTCCTCAGACCAATAGATCAAGTCTTCCTCCCCTTCTAAGAGCATGTTAAGATGTTATGGGAATGACCGGTTCAATCAGACCTGACCTGCAATTGCAGAAACAATCAATGCCTAACCAGAGATCAAACGACAATAATGTGCAACGTGCTCTAAGAACACATCAACTTCCAATGAGAGCACATACTGAGGGTGAGCGGGATGGAGATACACTCCTTCTTGGGCTTCTGCTCAGATTGTGTCCCGTGGGTCCCTCTTTCCTTGATGACTGCAAATAAGAAAGCAAGCAATCGCATCAGCACATCTTTGTGATGTACTCAAGATATTCCTACTCTTGTAAGGTAACCCATTTATGTCGTGTAGGGCAAACAGGAGAGAGTCCAAGGAGAATTCTCACTCACAGGTGATATTGGAGATCTCGATCTTGATCTGGACCTACAACAAACATCAATCAAAATGATGCCCTGATCCTCCAATGAAGACCCTCAGAACTGCTTCACCACATAGCAACCAAAAGAAAGACAACATCCATAGATACTTGCAGCCAAGATAAAAGAGACCTCTTTTATTTGGCTTTGGTTTTCTTGCTCTGATTCTCTATATCCGATGTTTTTCTATTGTTTGTTTTTCTCTCTTTTGATTTCGTACTTTTCTGATCCCAGATTTTTTTTTCTAATAATAAAATAATTTATTATCTGTTGAAGAGAAGAAAACTGAACAGTAGCATCGTGCATGCCGAGAAGGCAGCAAAAAATTCTCAAAGATATGCATGGTTTACCTCAAAGGTGACCGCAGAGAAATGGACCTTGCTGGAGACACAGACGGAGACCGTCGCGAGTGCTTGGGCCTTGGAGACTTGCTGCAAAAGAATTTGAGATAACTTATTCTCATGCAGTGTACATATGTATTTATTTAGTGAACATAACAGAACATTACAAACCTTCTACTCCTGTTGCTGTAGTTTGGGCTGCGGCTCCTCGAATAATTGGGACTTTGACTGGGACTTCTAGAGTCGCTTCGATGTGAATCGTATTCTTTAACCTAAAGAAAGAACCAGAAATGAGGTAACCGCAGTCAAATTAATACAATAACGACTGATTAATCTCACCATACCCGTATATAAGCTCGACTGAAGGCATTCCTGAATAGAGAATCATCAAGTTTTTTGATCTACACAATGAACATGAAATCACTCTGAGAGATGTAATCTTGACAGGTTAACATGGACACAAAATAAACCAACTGAAGACCAAAGAAACTAGAACATAGATGTGAGGAGACTAACCGCATATTTCATGTCGTCGTAGTTACTATAGTCGACAATTCCTATCACACCTGTAGAGACATTGTAATGACAACATCAAAAGCTCAGTACTCATCGGCAGCAGTATCTTGTTAGTCCATGTAGGACACTGTGCATAGTAATCCCTAAACCTACCACGCCGATCGGGATACACCTCAGAAAAACAGACGTCTCCAGCACGACGCATATGATCCTAACAAATGAGTGTAGGAGTTCCCATCAGAATTATGTTCTCAAACCAATGGGAAAGAGATAATGTTAATGAGTTATACGCCATGCAAATACTCCAGACAAGTGCACCTTCAGATCTTGCCATGAAGCTGAGGAAGGTAATCCAGTGACCAATACTGCATAATGGAGTCAGGAACATCAGACTCTAAGAGCTGACAACATTATAAGAGATACCATAAGAGATATATGTATACCACGATAGTCAGAACGCCTTGAATGGCTGCTGCTGCTGCTACCACTGTAACTCCGGTATCGGTCCACAGGTGACCTCTGTCCCCCATGGGCAAGTTCAACCTTGTATGCAGGACCATAACAATACGGATGAGATGGCAAGACACAAGATAGCAGTGAAATCAGAGAAAAGGTTTAGATGTCCTTTTTCCCTAGCAAATAAGGGAAGATTCTAAAGAACTCACTCGCAACCGGTAGCCATCAAATTCATATCCATCACGACCATAAATTGCGTCTTCAGCAGCACGGCGATCTTCGAACTGCAACAAAAATGAAGTACATCCAGCCATAAGAACATCAAGAATCCAATAAACTAACAGAATAATATCAGAACCAAACCATCATTTAACAACGTATGGGGGACCCCAATGTTACTGATTACTGAATAACATTCTAGAACATAACTTGTTAAGCTATACCGACCTCAACAAATGCATAACCCGGTGGTCTTGCAGGGATCTTCAACTCAATGTCAACAATAGGGCCATACTGCAAAAAGGCAATAATGAAAGTCGTCACAAGAACTTAAAGAGAGAAAAGGCAAAAGAAAAAAGTATAGTTCCCACCCACACATCCTCATTGTTGCTATTCAGGAAGGAAAAGAAGAACCACTTTTGCGGAAAAGAGCCCGAAGTTTTATCCTAGGCTAGATCCAGAAAGACAAATCTCCCCACTTCGCATTGAGAATCTCTAGTCTACAATTAATAGTTGATGCATGTGGAATAGTCACCTATCAGCTTAAAAAATGAGGCACACTACATTGAAACTGCTAAAAATTTTATACTTAATCACCAATGAGATACCCAGCGCGATGCCCGGGAACTAAACACTCCATATCTATTCCTCTTCTTAACTACAATAAGATCAATTCTTTGATCACCTAATTGAAAAAACAAAAATTTAAGATGGTAAAGAATCACAAAAATCTAAGATGACATTTGGTATGAAGAAATTTTTTAACAGACTTCCGTAAAGCCAGACGGCACCCAAATAAATGAAAGAAGGAAAAGAACCTATGCAATAAAAGACGGACCTTGTAGAACAAATCTTCGATTTCCCTCTTGCGAATGTCCCCGGGGAGATTGCCAACATAAATGGTGCGGCTCAATCGGCTGCTCATTTTCACTCACCTGAAACCATAACAAAGGGAAATAAGAAAAAACCCTATTAACTTCACTGAAAATGTCCACACATCCACAGAATCTGAAGGAACAGCTGAAACGGAGCCCACGCAATTGCAGATTACACCTACACTCAAACCGATCAAGACGCAACAGGAAAGCGCCGAACTACGAGAACACACACCGATCATGATTGAGAACGCAAAACGCAGCAACAACCCACAGGAAAAAAAGCGAGAGAAATGAGCCTCTTTTCCCCGCATCTACGATGGAAACAGCGCATTATTCAACAAAAAACCCCGAATCACGAGATGGGGGATCAACAAAAACAACACACACTCGAAACGCACACCGCCGTCGCTACACCAGAACCAGCTAACGAAATCGACCCAAGAACCCAGAACGCGCGGAATCGCTCGTACCACCGAAAACGGAGGAGAAGAACCCAGAAGCTAATATCGACCGACGGCGAGACGGATGAAAGAAGAGGCGCGAACCCCGAGAATCGACAGAGCAAAACGCGAGAATCGGCCGCGAGATCAAAAAAAAAAAAAAAAAATCCCGAGGATCGGAGAAATTAATAAAGAATTGAGCAAAACCTCGGAGTCGAATGATTGCGAAGTGTCCTTCTTCGAGTCCCTTGTGTTGTGTGTCTGGAAGAAGAAGGTTGGTGGGGGTGGGGGAGGCAGTGAGCGACGAGAGACGACGATATTAAAATGATGCCACGGGGCGGTGCGCGACTCGGGGGAAAAGCTCGGAAGCTTCGCGAGCGCAGGGAGTTCCTCGCGTTCGAGGCGCGACTTGGGCCGTCCGATCAAGAGATCGGGCGCGAGTCGAGATTTGATGGGCCCTTGATCGACCGCCCGCGTGGGGAAAAGTGACCCGGCCCACAGGCCGTTAGGCCCATGATGAGGTCTACCATCCGTCGCACCGACTCTTTTTTTTTTTGGGTGGAATTCTTAGTTTTACCTCACCGACATTTCAATAATTCCAATGTCGTCCTTGAATTTTTAAAATTGGTGCAGTACACCTCCCGTGTTCATGATGTCCCGTGTCAGGAAAAACTTATTTGTTGTTGGAAAATTAGTTCGTTAATTATGGGACGTTACATTTTGCCCCCAATCGATTTTAATATTATGGCAATGCACTCCTCGATGTTTTAGTTTTGTGCAATATCTCTCTTGTCTTTGAAATTTGTTGCATTGTTCGACTCGCCTCAAATATCCCAGATGGGGCCGATCTAATTGCGCTTATTTAGTCTTACTATGCTTTATACTGTACTTGCGTGTTTATGTGCAATGTAATCTCTATGCATTAATTTTAGTCAATCATTTGGAGGGGCATCGTGCCTTTTCTTACAGTTGCGTAATTTGTTAAATTTTTATTGGATATAATAATAGATGTTTTGAATTATCCATGCAAATGATAAATGCCCGCAACTTTTTCCAACGAAGTGTTCAAAATTAAATTTACGAGATCAAGGATCACTGATAATGAATGTATTCATATGTATACAGTCATTCATGTTTACTTTTTATAACGGCTTAAAGAGATCGTGGCGGTCTTTTGACTGGTTTCTTTTAGTTTCTAAAATATTAGATGGAGAGCGAAACGGAGAAGGTTTCTCAATGTCAAAACCTAATGTTAGCGAATAATATTACGAAGAATAAGCGAAATTTAGTAATGAATTTCATAAATAAAACACGTCAAAAAAAGGGTGCTTATTTTTTTCGTAGAATTCGCCAAGTGGGCGATGATGTCAGGGCTATGATCAGCTACCTTTAGCCCAGGCAGCACCCGAAAGGCCGAAACGAATTAACCGCCGCCGCCCATGGTTTTCATTTTCCCAGGTTCTTTTTTTTTTTTTTTGCATTTTCCCAGGTTGACAAGTCCTACTTTGTCTTCGCTGTCTCTCGTAGACTCGTGGCCCTATATAAAGCAAACCCCCTTCTCTCCTCTGCTCAGCCACTGCAATTTTCTTTGACTCCTCTCTCTCTCTCTCTCTCTCTCTCTCTCTCTCCAAATTTCTGTCTCTCTCCGCCACCGAAAGCTCGTATCTTTCTCTGACATGGCAGAACCCAAGACCACCATGGAAGCTGTAAGGCATTGGGTCGTCGAGCACAAGCTCAGGACCGTCGGTGAGTTTTCCGATCAATCGATGAGCTTTTCTCTTTTTCTTTTTTTAATCTGTTCTTCAAATCGATTGAAGAGTTTCTCTTGCGTGTGGTCCATTCGTATGTTTGTTTTTTTTCTGGCGGATTGAATCTGATTTTGCTTCTCGTATCGGTGCTGTCGTGAAAAAGGGTGTCTCTGGCTCAGCGGCATCGCGGGTTCGATCGCGTACAACTGGTCGCAGCCCGCCATGAAAACCAGCGTCAAGATCATTCATGCTAGGTAACCCATAATTTTTTTTTTGTTGGGTTCTTGTTCAATCATGTGAGAGCGAGAGCCTGGTTGATCGTCGCATATTGTGCCTTTTTCTTTTGATCCTCGTAGGTTTGGATTGAAGTTATTCTAGTTTCCTGTGTCCTGACAATGCCAGGATTACGCAGGTTATGTTGGGGATCTCGTGGTTTAGAATGTTGTCGGAACCTGGATTTGGGTAGATCTAGGTCAAGGCCACTACTCTTTAGCTGGTGACTGATACAGAGATGGCATGATCTGATATTGGCTTTAGGCTCTCTGTCTTTAGTCCACCGAGCTATAGTTCGACCGGCTGCGATTAGTCTGCTAAATTCTTTTGCTTTTCTTTGTTGATTGAGGTCATAATAAGCATTTAGAAATGAATAATTTACCCCGAATCTTGTAAGAGTAAAACGGAGAATAGTTTAGTTGATGAGCGAGCAACTCGACATTGAAATGCTACCCAAATTAATTTTCCTGTGACTGGACGAAAGTCTCTCTGTATCGATGATATAGGAGCAATGTGATTACAAAAGGTGTCTAGATGAATGTGTTTATGACAGGGCTCTAGTACTACGTGAAGCATATCTATGGTTCTCAGCATGAGTTGCAGACTTTACAAATGTTGAACGGGCTTCTCCGCAGTCTCGGTGTTAAAAGCTCTGATTGTTCTAGTCCTGATTTTAGTTTTTATCTGACCTTGATTATAAGAACTACTTTTTTTTATCTCTGTGTTGGTATTCAATTCGTTTGAAAATCCTCCTATAGGACCTTGTTTCAGACAACTCATCAAGTTTCACCTCGTAGGCTCAGCCAAGAGTCTCCTTAGGCATTTCTTTGATAATGTTTAACTTAACAGTCATTGCGTGTATTCTTTACCAAAAAAAAAAAACAGTCATTGCGTGTTGTGTCGAAAGTTATAATGGAGGAACATTTTGACATGCCCGTCTATGGCACAAGTTGTGGATAGTACTAAAAGCGAATTTTTTGAGTAACATGTATTATTGTTTAGGTTGCCTATGTGTTGTAAGAGTAGTTTAGCCGTGCATTTCGCCTTCAGATTCATGTTTCATGCATCTACAGTTCTTACTGACTCTAGTGCCACTCAAAGTGCTAATTTTTCTCACTTGTTGATATGTACCTTGTCATCATTCAGGTTGCACGCTCAAGCATTGACGCTGGCTGCTTTAGCTGGTGCTGCAGCGGTTGAGTACTACGAGCACAAATCAGGAGCAAAGAACGACCGTCACGCAAAATATCTTCCCATTAAATCTTTCACTCATAAGGAATAAAATGAGCTGCGTGCATTAACCCTTTTGCCTGCCGCCTGAGACTTAATCAGCAATAAAATCCATGTTAACAGAATTCTTTGGCCTTAATACAAAGTTTTGGTTTTGTGATGGAAACTTGTGTTGTAGACCTGGAGATGAAGTATTCGGAATGTCATTCTTTTGGACAGATACTGATGAATATAGTTGTTCTCTTTCTGGATCTTGATTGGTATTGTCGCAATATGCATCTCAAATTGTTCCTCAGATGACGGATGAACCATATGCGAACCACACACTCCATCAGGAGTCGATCCTCTCGATTTAAGTTCTAGATTTGGATTCACTTAAGATTGCGATGAGTCTGTGGATAAAGAGAAGGCTTTGATGTCATTACATATACTCACGAGCTCATGTCTCATGTATGTAGTTCTGTCTGGTTCTTGGTTTCCATCAAGATGATCACCCTCCTCAATCTAACTTTCCTGCATCCGCCATTAGGTGTATCATAGGATTGGATATCCAATCTTGCACCAGAAAAGCACTTGGGCAGATGGTTTAAGCACCTTGTTGACTTAAGGTCTCCAAATGTCCTTTAGGAGAAATTAATGTAGGAAAAAATGTTTTAAGCTATGATTTTGATTGCGCCATTGATGGCGTATGGTGCATCACTTCAACTAGGCCAAACCACTAGTGTGAATCATTTGAGTTACTCACGAACAATTTAAGCTGCATGACTATGTGATTGGTAATTGCTGACGTGAACGTTGATCGTTGGCACAGCTAGTATTGATGTAATAAGTTTTGCAATTTTTAAAAATTTTCCGAATTTTTTCTTTTTTTTTCTTTCCCATTTTCTCTTTTTTTAGGGAAAAAAAGAAAAAAATTTGTAAAAATTGCCAAGTTAGCACCGTATGTGCCACATAAGATAGCTTTTGTCCACATGAGCGGTTTCCAACCAAAATTAGCTGAATGACTATATTGGCAAATTGTTAAAAGGTTAATGACTAAATTGACCAAATTGAAATCCATACAATAAATTTAAGACTTTTTTAAAATAATTTTTCCTAATAGACTTGAGTGGATTCACAATATGAGGCATTGAGGGCGAAAATAATTTTTCCTAATCGTCCAGATCGTGAGGGTCAAACGCTCACCAGATTTTGTGAGGGCGACACTCGCCTATGGCCGATAAGTGGCTAACCATAATTGAGTATCGGCCACAGGCCAAAGGGAAAGAAAAGAAAAAAAAAAGGAAACAAAAAGTATAAAAAATTGCAAAGTTTATCCATGTCAGTGTCGGCCATGCCACGTAGGATGGCCAACGTTCACGTTAGCGATTTTCTACCAAAATTGGTCAGAAGGACTAAATTGGCAAGTTGTCAAAAGGTTTAGAACTGAATAGGCAAATAATTAAAATGTCTAGGACTAAATTGACACAATTAAAATGTTTATGATTAAATTGACAAGTTGTCAAAATGTTTAGAACAAAATTGGCGTAAGTGAGAGATTTATGATTGAATTGGCCGCGTGCAATAGGTTTGTGACTTTTTTGGATAATTTTCCCCAACTTCAGCATAAGATCGTTTTTTGACAGTTTAGTTTATAAGTTGAGTTGACGCTGGGCATCAAGTATTTATAGTAAAAGCTTTTTGTTATAGCTCAGAGATAAAGCGTGAAGAATGTCGAGTAGTCATCACTTGTCGAACGAGTCGGTTATTGCCTATTTATATTGTGATATACAATGAAAAATTACAATGACGTGCCTTCACCGATGCTTGAGTTATGTTCGACCATTCGCCTTGGTCATTTTGAGGGGCTCAACGACAACTATATCCATAATTGTCGCACCCACTATCAGCTAGTAACGTAGCATGTGAGAAAAACGGAGCACATTTTGAATTTGAAATTGTCTCAACTCGATCGTCCGAGATCCAGTACATCGCGATGGACACAAAAGATACGAGTAGTTTATTACTATTTGAAAGAGAGACATGGATTCATCAAGCGCTGTTGTTTGGTTCAATTGGTTTGCCAATGGGAAAGATATCCATTTCTCTAACTTGCGGTTGATACTGCGAAGCTGGGTACGGCTTTGCACTTTGGATTGATGTTAGTTTCTTCATGTCTAGAGACACTTCTTGTTGGTTGTTCCTCTCATTTGTCTCTGCTATTTTCTTGTTTCTATCTTTGTACATCATGTAGAGGAGCATTTGAATGATGCCAAACAATAATCCCAGTATATTTGGTAGCTGAAACACCCAATTGAACCCCATTTTAATTTCAAAGTCAGCCCAAAACGAGAGAGAGAGAGAGAGAGAGAGAGAGAGAGAGAGAGAGAGAGAGAGAGAGAGAGAGAGAGAGAGAGAGAGAGAGAGAGAGAGAGAGAGAGAGAGAGAGAGAGAGAGAGAGAGAGGTGCCGTGTGTGTGAAAAGATAATAAAAAAGTAAATGACACGCTCCGTTGACAGACGGATAGATAATGTCGATCATAATATAAATGAACGGAGGATGGATTCAAATTTTATAGTTTTTCCTAGTATAGGTTTAAGACTATTGATTGAGCTCTTGTTGACGCGCCTATTAATTAAATGGGCATGATTGAAGTAAGAAAAAAGAGAATTCAACTTAACATGTTTAGGAGAAATCTCAGGAACGATGACCGTAGAAAAAAGATTCACATTTGCACTGCAAGGTTTACTGGTGCATCATGTGAGCTTGGAAATCTGCGTCAAATTTGCGAATCTGGCCTTGTATCAGAAACCACTACAAACTTGCATAAACAATGACAAGCATTAGAGTTGAATGCTTGAGAGAGCTAAATGGTACTTACAGCAATGAGCATGTCATTGACGAAGAGTCCATACAAGAACCAGGTGGCGGCACAGAGGGCGTGCAAGAAGGACGGAGTGAACGGCATGAACTCCACACTTTTGGTCTTTATCACCCTCCTCTGCACAAAACAGAAAATTACACGGTCAAAATTGAAAACCTCCTGTTTCAGACTGGTTTTGTTGTTATAGCATAAGCAAAGAACTGCATCTCTACAATAATTGAATGACATGAAGGGATACCATGCTGCTCAAAGGCGCGGCGAACACTGCGAGACTGAAGGCCACGCAGATCCAACCGACGGCATTGACGCGATGCTGACCCTTGAGAAGCAAGATGGTCAGCGCCATCGTCACTCCAAAACCTCCTACATTGAACAGCAGCATCAACTTCGCTGTGTACATCTGCAGATTGATGATTCACACAGATTTCCTTTAGATTTAGTTCTCAATTAAGAAAAATTGTAAATCTTTTTATTTTTAATCCCCGTCACATAAATTTCCTAAGAATTGTTTTTCTTTTTTTCCTTTTGCATATCTTCTTAAATGTAGGAATTACTAAATTTTGATGAAGGGCTAACATGTGAGGTTATTAAAAAGCTTTAGCTATTCAGCAGAAAAGTGAAAATACAAATATCACGCCAGAATCAATGTGAATACCCATCAAGACAATCTCGATCTTGCTTGTAAATACAAAATAGGTAACAAGTTGAGACCATAGTCTTTTTCCCCTCTAAAAACTGTTGGGATTTTGTTACCAAAATCCCATAGAATTGAATGAGAAGTGTGTGGGTGAAAGTGTCCCACATAGGGTAGAAGAGAGATGGGAGATGAGTTCAAATAGTTGAGCCTCACAAATGGGTTTGGGCCCCAAGGGGTACCCCACTTTTGTGGAAGAGAGAGGACCTGTCCGCGCGCGCGCCGCCGTCCGGCCGGTTCGGTTCGGGGTCCACTCTCTATCGGTTTTTTATTTTTATTTTTCGAACAGACACACCGTTTAGAAATTATTTATTTATTTATTTATTTTGGACAAACAAACATGTCTGTTCGCCGTGAGGTTCGGTTCGCCCGAACGAAAACCGAAGCCCTTTCGCGCCTATTCACGAACCAAACCGGTTCAAGGCTCGGCTCGTGACTGTTCACGTAGAACCGAACGTTTTTGTTCGGTTGGTGACTCTTCAGTTTCATCCTTATATATCCGAAATTCCTTGGTGACTATTCATTTTACACATGACCAAGCGAAGTATAAAGTCAAAACCGAATTGAACATTTCGGTAGACTCTTGGCATTTTCATATTTTCACGGCATTCTGCTGCACTCTCATTCTTCATCGTCGTCATCTTTTGTGCGATTATTCTGCGAACTTGCGTTCGAAGATTTCCTTTGAAGAAGTACCGCTTCATAGGAAAGGCGATCCATTCTATCCTGGGAGGCAATTGTTCAGCGACCTTTGGGTACCGGTAGAGGGGACAAATTGTCTTAAGGACACAACGTGAATTCGTTCGGCTCGGATCAATCGTCTAATTCGGATCACTCATTTCAGGTTTGTCAAACAACTTTACTTTATATGCACATACAAACACGTGAATATTGGACAACAAAAACAGCTTTGAAAGCCTGTCACGATTTGCTTAGACACTCCAATTCGCAAACCAATGAACAACACACGGTTAAAATAACAAAGGAACAGTAGTTTGCTACATTTTGAAGCTCTAAAGCAGTGAGAGAGAGAAAACCTTCTCTTTGGTGGAGGCATAGATCAAGAAGAGGACAAGATAGGCGAGTTCAATTACGATTCCAATGGCGTTGATGGTGATGATCATAGTGGCATTAGTCTTGAGGACTCCATAGTACAGGAGCAACGACGCACTCAAAAGTGCCACCACATATGGTATCGATTGATACCCGTCCGACGATTTCTGCTTGTAGATTGTGTCAAATGTCGGGCTGCCAAAAACAAGAAGATAAAAGGTACTTCACTAATAATGCTTCGCGAAAAAGCTTCCAAATTCATACTGAGAGACTTGTGATGGTCAAATGATCGAGACGGGCATAGGAGTTATGTGCACAATGAAAAGTTGGAGGAGGTCTTACATTGGTGCCAAGAACACCAAAAAGGACACGATGTTGCCTGTATAGATTCCAGAGAAAAGGAGAGATGAGAAATGTTAGAATAGTTCATAGAACTCGAATTCAACAAAGGAAAGTGAGATATTAAAGGGATTACGGATTTGCTAGAGCGATTTCTTGCATGGTTTAATCGATTCCCATGTTCTAAATACGATCCTATTTACAATGTACTCATTTTATGTTTTGACAGGACAAAAATGATAAGGAACTAGAAAAGGTCCGACAAAAAAAATATAACAGAAAAAAGGTTTTATAGGATTGGTATAATCATGCAAACACAACACATAGACATCAATTAGCATCACACGTGTCATGCAATATGATGATTTACGAAACGTTTCTCAAGCTCTCAATTTTAACCTAATGAAGATTAACAAGAATGCTGCTCAGCATGTATGAAGCTCATTTTGAAATTATGAGATAATTATCCAAAAAGTCATAAATCTATTTACGGCGTGCAATTATGTCCTAAACTCTTTAATTTGGAAAAATTTAGTCCGAAACTTTTTGATGATTAGTCGATAAAGTCCTTCTAGACAATTTTGGGCTAAAATGGCTGATATGGACACCGGCCGTCTTTTAAGGCACAACCGGAGCAGACATGTTACGATTATTGCAATTTTTAACAAAAAATCTGAGTTTTTCTATACTTCTCTTTTTTGGGGGTTCACTTTCCATCATATTCTTAATCTCCTTCACTAAAATATGTTTTGATGTGAACAATTTCTAAAAAGGCCGGCCCATGTCCTAAATCTCATCAAATGAAGCCCACTCGCTCAGCAGTTAGCAAGTTGGCAAAGTTTTCCTAGGTCCGCATGCTACCGACATGATTAGATTATATTAAAGTAAATTAAATGTCCATTGTTGTAGATATAAGTATTAAAAGCTCTAATTTAAGTATGATGAGCTGTAATGGTCGACTTTTCTTGCTGCATTCTGATTTAAAAGATTATCATCTAAACAATTACAAAGATTCATGTCGCCGTGTCAGGCAATATCTATGCTGATTTGGGCGCGGTGTTATGTTTTCGGGGGGAAATATCAATGAATATGAATCAATAAAGCCAATGACTTCCCCATTGGGAAACTTCCTCCCTATCAGAGAAGTTTAATGCCCTAATGTATGTGCGTTTTAGGAGGAGCGGTTCCAAGTTCCATACAGGTTCCAAATGGAACCTGAAACTTACTCGTTAGAACAAGTCCCTATTTTTTTGAAACCTGTAACCTACCCTACATAACTCAGAACCTGGAACCTACATTGTCACAGGTTTCAGGGTCGGTTCTAAGATCTATCCAGGTTTTATTTGTATTGTTAATTGAACGATTGCAGTGAATCATCACATTTAATGACCACCACTTGCTGCTACAATCCACTGACCACTACTTATATTTAAACACACGAAGAATATGGAACATTAACAAAATAAAATCTCAGTCATAAAATGGAAGCTCATACTAGTGGTTTTAGATTATATACTTATCATCGGATGCTATGGAATACCTGTTCCAAGTTCTAGATTCTACCTACTTAGAACTTGGAATCTGGAACCTACCCATCAAAATAGGTTCCCCAATTTTCGGAACCTAGAATCTATCGTGCATATCCTAGAACCTGGAACCAGTTCTCACTGGTCTGATTATTAGGTTTCAGGTTCTACCTTGGAACCATACTGACCCCTACGTTTGAGTCATATGCCGATTACTCTTTGGCGCAAAACAGGGGAATGTTTAACCCAACACAAGTTACCCAATCAAGTAAATAACTTTTTCTAATCAAGTAAAAACAAATAAGAGCCTCAACGAAATGTATTTACTCAATATTACCACTAATGTGGTTAGCCCCTAATGATTGATATGTCGCACATTATTCACGAGACAACGAATTCAATTCGTGTAGCGAGTGAATTCCTAAACAGCTCATGTTGCCTAATCATGGCACGATTTGTGTTGAGATGGTTCCTGACCGCTAGCCTCTTGATGGGCTGTAATGTAATGGTGAGCTCGCCATCCTCGAACATTCGGCGGATGATGCATAGTAGTTATATGACACAAACTGCGTAGGGGAGGTGAGAGTCTAATGATAACGCTCGGAGATGGCTGCTAAAGTCCATCGCCCTCCCCACCCTTACACAAATCAAAAAAGAAAAGAAATTTTTTTTTTTACTATGGTGGAAGCAGTCAAATCTTCTTTCGCTAATTATAAGTTTAGGATATGGTAAAACTTCTTGGGAGGAAACGAAAACTTAGTCAAACAAAATAGCAATTTCAAATAAAGAAGGCAAGTTGAGGATTGGAACGAGAGACGTTAGGTAAGCTAAACAAGCGTGATGGATGGACACAAGTTTGCTGTAAATGTTTTTTAATATATCTGGCATGTATGAGACGATCTGGTGCTCTCTCGTTGGATCTTTGACAATTGTCACGAGGTAATGATCTTCCCATAGAATTAGATATCTCCAAAGGGGCCTAAAGTAAATGGGAAAACGATCTTGATATGTGTGTGTATATATATTCTATTCGGTATTTTGCATCTCTTTGCTTATGGCAATATGAATGAGTTATGCACATAGTGGATGCCATAGACGGTCCAAACCATAGACATATAAACCATTTATTGTCTAGGACCTTTATGTGTATACATATACATATCCATGTAAATCATATCTATTTTGTATGTCAACATACCAAATCTCTTGATTCATCAAGATATCTCCACTTCAGATGACTTCTCGAATTATATCAATAATTTCTTTAATATAATAATGCTTTTTTTTTGGGTTGAAATTCAATATAATAATATTGGGCGGTTGAAACCTCGAGAAAATGATCGTTGTCGATTACAATTACAAGCCAGCCTTGTGGTTACAAAGGAAGACGCAACCAAGAAAATGATCATTATATGGTTTTGTGTGGCCGAGTGCCGGAGGCGTGGGGAGCAGTTGACTCCGCGTACACACCCACCCCACTCTCCAGCACCAATCAGCTGAAAACGAGGCCCGACTTCGTTGAAGCTGCTGTAGCTTTGATACTACTTAACCACCAGTGAGGTGCTCGGGGAAATGCAAACGGGTCCATATCTTTTCCTCTTCTTAGCTGCAATAAGAATCGATTCTTCAATCACTTAATAAAAAAATTAAGATGGTAAAAAATAGATTTGCGGAAATGGGCCGTAAATCTATTTCTTAACCCGTATTTAATGCCCTAAGTTGTTATATGCATTATTTATAATATTTAGTAAATGGGTCATCATTGGGTTTAAAATGGTAAAACTCAATATAATATGAATGTTAAATGGGTTCACAGTTTACTTACACTCAACCGATTTGTATGACTTTTTCTTCACTCTCTTTCTCGCACTTGCTCACTCTGTGCTCTCCCCTCAGTTTAGGTACGAGTAATATGGGTCGGATTGGATATGAGTCGGGTCGGGTTGGATCGGGTATGAATCACTAGATTTGAATTGTATGAAAATGAATCAATTTGGGTCGGAAAATTTTCTACTTGACCCACTCATTTGACGGATTTAATAAAGAATCACGGAAATTTAAAATTTGTTTGGTATAAACATAATTTTTAACAGGCTTTCGTAAAAAATTTCATTGCGTCATTAATTGGTCCTTTCACACTTTCAAATTTGGGTAAAAGCCACTAAAAATCTCAAATTATGCTCATTATAACACATTTATCCTAAACTTTTTTTCTGTCACAAAAAATCTTAAACTTATACCTATTTGACACATTTACCCTCCGTCAATGAGGTTCGTTAAAAATCTGCCTGCATTAACACCAGAATGCAAACGTTGTTGACATGGAGCTCAGGTGACTTAAGTGAAATAACAACGATATTGTTTTGACTGAAAAATCATCTGACGAAATCTTGATGGAGGGTAGATGTATTACATAGGTACATGTTTGAGGATTTTTATGTCACAAAAAAAAAGTTGAGGATAAACGTGTCACAATGAAAATAGTTTGAAGTTTTTGATATCAAAAAAATAAAATTTAAGATAAATTTGTCATAGTGGGCATAATTTAAAAAATTTTGTGGCTTTTTCCGTTTACATTCCTTTAGTCCACGTCCTGAACGCTTTGCGACGGAGTGGTGTGATGTAGCTAGCAAGGATCACCTAGAGGGGGGGTGAATAGGTGATCTTAAACAATTTTTGATAATTTATGTGGAAACAAAATAAATCACAGTAGAGTCTGAATAAAATTCAGATTCAAGACATATTATAAAGACGGTGCTCTTGATGTGCAGAATGTAAAGTAAGAGATAATGGATAGAGAATCTGCACACAAGTTTATAGTGGTTCGGCTTATAGCAAGCCTACGTCTACTCTCCCACGCTTATAGCCTACCGGCTGGATTTCACTATGTAATCAAGAGGAATTACAACTTCTGAGTGTTAACACTCTTGTGTATGATAGGACTCTCTATCTCACACAATCACTCTTACAAAGTGTCCCTCAAGATCTTAATGTTTTGCTCAGAATGACAAGAGAAATGATTGGAGTATGCTCAGACTTTGGACTTGTTGATTCTTGATTCTATACTTCCTTCTGCTGCTCGTTGATCCTCTTAAATACTCCTCTACTAGCCGTTGGACAGCTTTCAGAGGATCATCTTCCAATCTTCACCTTCGACAGATTTGTATAATAAGGATTGAGTAGCCATTTGATGACAGATTCTGAATCCCGCTGATTCTGGTCGCCCATACAATCAGAATATTGGTTTCCATAAGTAGAGCTTTGTCCGTTGTAATGCATTATTATCGTGATGTTTGATTGTCAATCACTTTGATTGAGATTGAGACAATCAGAACATTCCTTCTGTGAAATTCATGCCAGATCACTAGCTGTTGTGTTACGTTCTGAATTCTGCGTCTGAAGAAATTCTAAGTCTGCATCTGAAGAACTTCTGCGTCTGCGTCTGAAGAATTTCTTCGTCTGCATCTGCATTTGAATAACTTCTGCGTCTGAATCTCAGAACCTAGATTATGTG